CCCCAAGACATCATCGCTAGTGTGACGTCAATGTCTGCAGGTGGCTTGATCGGTATTAAGTTCGGCGGTAAGGGAAAGGAAATACATGATAAAATGAAAGAAGATCGGGGGCGTTGTCTGAACAATTATCAGCAAACGAAACATAAGCATAAAGATAAGCAAATGTAAACACAAATATAAACAAAACAAACGGTTTTCGAATTCTGGCGATTACCGAATGGCTTTGAATTTTTTTAATTTGTCCATAGTTTTTTTTAATGGGAGCATATTTCACACTACACTCTATGGCGACGCCCCTGTATAAGACAAAGATTATATTGATCATACTGTTTTGTATGTGGAAATCGCCCCCAAGCTGGCTGAATAATTATGTCACTTATACCACAATAGATGCATTTCAAAAATCTTGATTGATATCATTTTTTTAACAATCTATTACAATCCATTTAATACAAAAGAGTTCAAAGGTATTTTGCTTTCAAAAATGGATTTGCACAGATAGGATCTTTTGTTTCCGTCTAAGTAGCTTAATTATTATGCTTGTTCAACAGGCTATAATAGGGATAATACTAAATTAAGAATTTATATTGAGATAAATTTTATCCATAGAAACATAGATCTTTATCTTAGCACGGTCGTATCTGTTCTTAATTAATGGCATGATAAAAGGTGACGAAAGACAAATAGGATTATTCTAATTAATCATTGTTTCTTTTAAAATGACAAACACAAAATTTGTGACTACTTATTATCTCCTTTCTCTCTCCTCAGGCTGCATTGTGTTCGTGTACGGATGCTTCTTTACGATTAAGAACTACCCGGGAAAGGCGCTCTTCTATTTACCATTCACTTTATTCTTTAGTGTTTGGTTTATGACTGAGCCCACCTATCGACTGCTGTCCATCTACGTCTACCCAGTTCTGCAAAGGTATTTTATATTTATGAATTAATCCCTTACATTTGTTAACCCTTTCATATTTATAACCTAGAATATGCCTCAGGTAAAAGCCAGAAGGGCGATAACACTGTGTTAAGGTTGAGTTAACGTCCTTTTAGTTCTAATTAGAAAACAGTAAAGCATGGGTTAAACAAAAAGACCTTGATCTTTTTATCCAACACGATTGCGAATTCTTGAATTAACAGGTACAGGGTTCCTCCTTTTTCTCACGCAAATATAGTTGAACTGAACCATCAAGTAAAAAACTATCATATTCCTGGCTGTATATACATTTGTCATTTTGCCGAAGTGTTGAAAGTATAATGATTACCAAAGAGGTACATTTTAAAGCTCGAACTCTAAATCACTCAAATTACTTGACATAATTCATATCTATTGCAGTATGATATTTTATAGTTCGTTTCTTATGAATAATATCTGCACAGCACTTCTATTCTTTCTTCACAGTCCGAATATCTGGAACGGAATCGACCTGGTGTTGTCTTTTGCTGGACACGCCTATTTCTTGTGCATAACGCGACCTGACCTTCTTAATAAACGGTTCCCTTTCCATCTACAAGCAGGCAAGGTAATAACCATGGGTATTATTTCTCTTCATTTTCCTTTCCTTATTTAGTTTTCATCCACATGGCTATGAATGGTAAACATGATAGAGACATAAATATCATGCTCTCTTGATACGATTTTAAACAGAGGAACAGAGATTTGTTTCGATAACTAATTTACCTTGAGATTATTTTTTTTCGAGGCCGACATCATAGTCAAGCTTCGCTTATAATTGCGGTCTCCTGCACTTTTTTCAACTGATAGTTTGGATCATACTTTAAATTTATAATAACATATTATAGAAATATCAAGTTCCGTTATCATATGTACATATGTAAAAGAAGAAAAAAACTACATGAAGTTATCATTGTTTGCTTGTTTTGTATTATACAGTTGTACCTTACGTAACGTTTATATGTTCTTTGTTAATCTGTTATTATATTTGGAAAAATGCAGAAATCAAATTTTAAAAAATACAAAAAATAACTAATTTAATTGTAAAAATGAATCCTAATTAGATTACGAACAAAAAGATAAGAATCCTGAAAATATTGAACAAAATAATAAAAGGGGAACAAATTAAAAGATAGGTACAAAATACAAAATATAATAACCAGCGAGTATTCATTCTTACTCTGATCTCTGTTTTAGATTTCGTTCCGGGATATCGATGATGACGTGAAGAATATCTACCAGGCCTCTCCTGATTACTCGGTCTTCCAGACTGGAAAGAATCCTACTGGAACTGGCACGACTTTGAGCATTCACGATGCACCAGATACGACTTTGACCATTCACGATGCACCTGATACGACTTTGAGCTTTTACGATGCACCTGACACGACTTTCAGCATTCACGATGCACCTGGCACGACTTTGAGCATTCACGATGCACCTGATACGACTTTGAGCATTCACGATGCACCTGATACGACTTTGAGCATTCACGATGCACCTGGCACGACTTTGAGCATTCACGATGCACCTGATACGACTTTGAGCATTCACGATGCACCTGATACGACTTTGAGCATTCACGATGCACCTGATACGGCTTTGACCATTCACGATGCACCTGACACGACTTTGAGCATTCACAATGAACCTGAGCACTTCTTTACTCCGGTGGTATGTTCCGTTTTCATCATTTTTCATCATTATTTGCAATGATTCTATAGAAAATAAAAGTCATACCTATAAAGAGAGAAAAAAAGAACCCTGAGAAAATGAATTGAAATTATTAAATAGATAAGATACATTAACTCAATTAAATAAATTACTTAGAAAATCCATCTTAGGAATAATTTAATAAAACAGATACAGATATTATAAGAAGATCTTTAACAAGAAAACTAAGACGAAATAAGGCGAGCGGTAATTAGAAATGTCATAAAAATTATGGATGAAAAAGAAAAATAATTTTTTTCTAGAGCAGATCTAAAATAATTTCATTTATTTTATTGAAATTTATGAAGTATAAATCTGTCATTTTCATACATGTAGTTGCCTTTCAACGCAAACTCGGACGAATCCTTGGTTATCCCTCGGCCAATCTTACCAATACCAACGGTGTCTGCATCTGTAGCTGATCAGAACTACAGTGTACCACCAACAGATTGGCAATTATCACCCTCTTTGACCGAGATGATGGAACTCGAAGACGACGAATGTCGCGTGCCTGCAACCAGGCGTCAACGAAAAGCACTCCCTCTTTTCTCTGCTGCCGCCATGCAAAAGACACACCCAATTTCTACACCTAAAGGATTTGTTGCCATGCCCTGTGTTGTTCCTCATGATTCCATGAAGATAAAACCACTACTATACATGGATCTACGGTACGTCAAAAAGTAGTTGCTGAAATATACACCATGGCGCCAAATATCTGCATGACCTGTTGATTAATCCTATCATCTAAAACATTTTCTTTCAATCTCATTAATATAGATGTGATGATATGGACAATCTATACTGATCAAGTAAATCATTAAATACTTTATACAGATAGTTCTTATTTTAAAAAAACACATCAACGACAAAGAAGTAATGATGTTAGAGAGATTTCAATGCTAGCAGACATTCTAAAATGATGTTACTAATGTTTGCATCTTTTTTCTCGCTCCTTCTTAAACCTGCGTTCTTTATCTTCTAAAGGTTGCTGTTCCAAAAGGAGGTTTTTCCATCTTCTCTGTGCAGAAACAACTGGTACGTTATTTCAGGATGTATGAATTATTGTATGACAGAAATTGTTGGGAATGTACGTAATGGAACCTCATATCACAATATAAATCAAATTAATTGGTGCTCCTATTACTTATTTTGGAACATTTATTCTGTTTGTTGTCTTTTTAGAAGAAGACAAAGACAAATAAAAAGAAGAAGAAGACCATAACAAAGAAGGAGGAGAAGATGAAAAGGAGATGACGACAATGACGAATAAGAAGAACAAGGAGGAAAAAAAAATGAGAAAACTAAATTTGAATGTGCAAAATCGTGTCATACATTTCATGTCACATTCACTTCTGGCAATTGCATCATGTGAAAACAGATATCGATGTTATTTTGACATTATATTTACATTGTATACTTCTAACAGGACGCTGTGACTTCTCCCAAGTGTCCTGATTCCATCTTACCAGAACAAATGGAGAAATGTCACTCTGGAGAAAAGGTGTAATTTGACAATTATCTTTAAAAATATCCGTTTGTAAAATTTAGTACTGTATAATTATCTATTCATAATGAACATAATCCTCCTGGTTTTCAGTGAAAACCTCGACGATTTGAAAACAACATATTTTTGGTGCTCTGTCTTGACGCGTAAAGTAACCACGCAATCTTAAAATAATTGTTTTATGGTTTTTAAGGACAGATGAAAAGAAATATATTATAGCTCAATTGGCCTGTACTTATTCAGGGATCATGTGCAGTACATAACCAAACAGTTATTGGAAGTTTCTTCGCCTCTTAACTAACATTCTATCTTCTAGATGTACCAATTGAGAATAAGATCTGGATTTTCTTAAGATTTACAAAGTTTTAATTTGTTGTAATATGTTCAGCCAATTACAATTCTGGTACTGATAATGATGTTGTTTCAAACTACACACTTTACACTTGCACTTCATCTTATTCTCATTCAAATCGATCATGTTTTTTTTTCTTTTCAATATCATTAATTGAGATGTGATGATATGGACTATCAATACTGGTTAAGCAAATTAATGAACACTTTGTACAAATAGGCCTAGTTAGTATTAAAAAACAACAACAACAAAGTAGTAATGATGTTAGAGAGGTTTTAATGCTAGCAGACATCAGTGGCGTAATGAACAAAAACGTTTTTTGGGGGCATTACAAAAATTCGCATCACCACCACTCTTACATGTTACATGCAGTCCCCGCGGAACTGTTTTCAAAGTGTGGGGGGGGGGGGCTTAAGTATTTACGACCATGTAGAGCGATGCAGGTGGAGCATAAATCGGTGTGGGATCCAGGGGAAAAGCCCTGCGGGGGGTCAAGGGGCGGAGCCCCATGAAGCTCAGGTTTTTTTTAGGCATTTAATTACAGTCAGATGAGCAGTGGGGTCCAGCGGGCGGAGCCTCCGGAAGCTCAAGGCTTTTAGGCATATTTATTTACGGTCATATCACTTAGATGAGCATATTTTGATACCTTATTTGTGACACTGGTAGGTCACTAATTGGAGTGGGGGCCAGGAAGCGGAGCCCCCAGGAGCTCAGGGGTTTTAGGTATTAAATTACGATCAGATGAGTATCTAGGGGCCCGCCTTACGGGCCTTTGTAGGGTCCTGGGGGCAAAGTCCCCCGGAAGCTCAGATTTTAGGCAATTAATTACCGTCATGTGAGCATCTAGGGGCCCGCCTAAGGGCCCTGGTGGGGTCTTAAATACTTTTGTGTGATTCTCAGCTAGCATAATAAAAAAATCAATACATTAATAAGAAAGAAAATATGAGAGAAAGGAAAGAGATTAAAGACTTGAATGTTGGCTTATAAAGTCGAACAAGTATTCATTCTTGTTTTAGGAACGACCAAATGGTTACAGCATCCTGCCACCGATCACACCATCGGGCGAATCTAGTAAGCCGTCTCTGATTAAGAGCATCGAAAGACCCGGACCTGCTTTTCACCTGACTAAGTCTTCGCAGAATGTGTCTCTGGTGACCGGCAAACTGTATGAAGAGCCTTTACAGACCAGGTCCACTTGGTCTGTCGGATCTGATGCTAAGATACCTGAGAGCAATTGCCAGACTAACGACACTTAAGTTCGAGTCATCAACGTTCGAGAAGCTGATGAGCCTTTCAAGTCCAAGGCCATTAGGAAATCGGGTTCTGATACAGCGGTGCCTGAGAGCAATTGTCAGACCAACGGCACTCAGAAAGTTCGAGTCATCCACGTTCGAGCAGCTGATGAGCCTTTGCAGGGATCTGGATCTGCTGCTCAACCTCAAATCGTAGGAATCCCTTCTGACCCAATAAATATCAAGGAATGGGTCTCTGAGACCAAGCCTTTAGCCTGGACCATGGATTATGCCGATCCACTGAAGAGGCCATTACAGCTTCCAGCGCCAAAGATCTTGAACTGGACTATCAAGCCTGTGGAAATTGAGCGCTCTAAGCCATCACCAGGACAGATTCTAGGATCACATGGACCACCAACTGCCCTAACTGACCAGACCATTGGTCCAAGATCTGAAGAAGAGGATAGGCTACCTGCCACTGATGGAGGGGACTTTGCAAAGGTGAATTTCTACCGAACGTTTTAAACTATCATTGTTCCATTGCTGAATTGTGGAAATGGAATACCTACTTTTATATTTTATATACTCTCTTCTAATAACAAATAATTAAAATATAATATTTTATTTGTTTGACATGGATTATATTGAAAACGTAGGCCTATGCAACGTGTATAAATGCATTTGCAGATTTCAAGATTGATGAATTGATTTTAATTGATATTCTTCTTGCCATACTTCTATAGCGTGCTAGCAAGACCCAGAAGGAACCATCATCTAGGAGGTTCCCCAAACCGACCAACCCGGCATTGAACCCTGATACCACTGCTCCTGATGAGCCTCAAAAGGTAAGCCTGCCCTATCTTTTACTTTGTACTTTTACTTTTTTCAGCCATTTTTAATCCACTGCAAGATGAAGGCCTCAGCATGATGTTTTCAAATGCCTCTGGTCAGCGTCTGTTGATGCCAATTTGTCTGTCCCCAGAACTGTTGCAGCTCGTCTCGCCATCTTTTTCTTTGACGTCCCCTGTTTCGTTTTCCCTCATATGGTGTCCAGTGAGTGATTGTTGAGCTCCAGCGATTGTCATTCCTACGGCTGATGTGGCCCGCCCAATTCCATTTCCTTCTTTTTACTGTTTTAAGGATGTCCAGGACTTTTGTCTGTTCCCTGATTCATTTGTTCGTTTTTCTGTCTTTGTATGTGATGCTTAGAATACTTCTTTCCATGTTGTGTTGAGATGCTAGCTTTCTTTCCATTTTTTATGTTAGTGTCCATGTTTCTGCAGCGTATGAGATTGCTGGGATGATACACTGGTTATATCCTTTCTTCATGTTTTTCAGGCATAATGGAAGTTTGCCTTCACTAATAGTGTTGTATCTACTGAAGGCTTGCCATCCAGCTTTGATCCTTCTTCTTATTTCGTTATCTTGATTTTTGTCTTGTAGAGAGAAACGTTGCCCTAAGTAAATACAAAACGTATACTCCTCTACTTGCTCCATTTTGGTACCGTTCACTTGGATTTGTTTTGGATCTTTGGCTGATCCTGCCATGACTTTAGTCTTCTTCATATTCATTTTGAGACCTGTTAGTCGGCTTGCATCGTCCAGCTCTTGCAGCATTATTTCGAGGTCGTTTAAGTTGTCAGATACGATGACAATATCGTCTGCAAATCTTAAGTGGCTTATGTTTTCCCGTTTATGTTGATTCCCTTTGATGACCAGTCTAATATTTTGAAGATGCTCTCTAGGCAAGCAGTGAAGAATTTTGGTGAGCCGGTGTCTCCCTGTCTAACTCCCTTTCTTATCATGATTTTGTTGCTGACCTTGTGCATTCTGACAGTGTTGTAGCAGTCTGAATAAATGTCTTTAAGGATTTTGATGTATGCATTGTTGATTCCTTGGTCTTGAAGTGCCTTCAGTACTGCATAGGTTTCGACGGAATCAAATGCCTTTTCGTAGTCTACGAATGCTACGCATAGAGGGATGTTGTACTCTTGGCATTTTTCTTTCAGTTGATTAATGGTGTGGATGTGGTCCATAGAAACCCCTTCTGAAGCCTGCCTGCTCCCTTGGTTGGTTGTAATCAAGGATTTTTCTCTAGCCGGTTGTTGATGATTTTTTATATAGCTTATACAGGTTTGAGAGGAGGCTGTCTCGCTTGTCCCCCTTTTTGTGCAGAATTATCATTGTGGCTTCTTTCCATTGATGTGGTATCCTCCCTGTTTGCATACATGCATTGTAAAGTTTGGCTAGTTCCTCGGTTATTGTGTCACCTCCTTCTTTGATTGTGTCTATGAGTATGTCGTCTGGGCCTGGTGACTTCCCTCTCTTCATTTGATTTATTGCATGTTGAACTTCCCAATCAGTTACAACTGGGATCTCTTCTTGTGGTTCTCCTGGATCTTCTGCCTCTTTATTGCTGTTGTTCATAAAACTCTTCAATTCTTCAAAGTATCTGGTCCTGATCTGTGATTTCTTGTCCATTGCTGTCGAGGACGCTTGTGATTTTCTGTTTTCCATGTGCTAGTTTCTTGTAAGTTTTCTTCAGGCTTCTGTTTTCCTCAATTGTGGATTTGATCATTGTTGTGTTGTAACTACGGATGTTTTCACGTAGCTTTTTCCTTACTGTTTTGCAGGTTTCTACATATGCAACATTATTGGATGCCTATGCCTTCTGCTTTCATGTTCCTTCTTTTTTCCATGAGTTTTCTGGTAGATTGTGATATTTCGTTTCACTGGTTTTTTCCCTGCGATCTTAAGGCGGTTTATTGGGTTTTTTCCACTAGCAGATCAGTCCATGTTTCAAGAGATCTGTTTCCTTCCTCATCTGTGCATTTGTCCGTCAGAATTTGAAATTGTTTTTTTTAACTCTAGTTGAAATTCTGTTCTCTTCTCTTTTAGTTTCTCTAGGTTGATGTTACTTTGTTTTGGTTTGGTTGCACAATACCATCCTGTGGTCACTTCCCACGTTCACCTTGCTGATTGTTTTCACGTCTTGGATGATGTGAGGATTATCAGTTAGTATGAAGTCAATTTCATTCTTTGTGTTGTCGCCTGGGCTTTTCCATGTCAATTTCCTGGATGCTCCTTTCTTGAAGAAAGTGTTCATCATTTTCATTTTGTTGCTAATGGCAAATTCAAGAAGTCGGTCACCCCTGTCGTTTCTTTGCCCACTTCCGAAGGGGCCGATTGTGCTCTCTTCTCCTTCCTCTCTTTTCCCGATCTTCGCATTAAAGTCACCCATCACTATTGTAAACTGTGTTTTACTGTATTGCATCACGTCTGTTAATTCCTCGCAGAGTTTCTCTACCTCTTTATAGTCGTTTGTTGAAGTTGGAGCATAGACTTGGATAATCTTTATTATGTATCTCTTATTGATTTTTATTGTTATTTGTGCCAGACGTTCATTTATTCCTTTTATTTCAGAAATGTTACCGGCGACGCTTTTGTGTACCAGGAATCCTACTCCTGCTTCACTCTTATTTTTCTTTCCTATATGGTAGAAATGGTGCCCACTAATTTTCAGTACTGTGAGTTCTTCTCCTCGTCGGCGGACTCCACCCAGTCCAACGATGTCCCACTTTATTTCTTCCTCGAGTTCCAGTAGTCTCTCTTCTTGAAGTAGTGATCTCACATTATATGTTTGCAATGTTCAGTTTCCATTGGTGGCCAGTCCTTACCCAGCGATTCTTAGCACCCCCTGCTCCTTGCTTTATCGGGCTGCCACCTTGGTCCTCGGAACAAATGAGCTGCTGGGGACTGGGGGCCTTTGCTTATTTGTGTCTGCCATGCTGGTTTGTGTGGGCCTATACCCATCCACGCTGGCCCAGTGCGGGTTGAACGGGGGATTTTACATCAGAGCTCCGACTCCTAGGTTGATGGCCTTACTGGGCTACGAAGTCAACCTCTCCGCCTATTTTCCCATCTAGGTGGGGCTATTTAACCCATAGATGGAGCTTGGTTGATGGGCGCCAGGGCATGTCCACACGCCGGTGGGCCTGCACGCCGCATCTCTGGGGCCCCAAAGCTACTCCGAGATCCCTTACAGTTTTGCCTGGGACCGTGAGGTTCCACAGGTACCGTGTGTTGCCGCGAGGAGGCACTGTAAGAGTCTTGATGGAGGAGAGGCTATGTACTGGCAGGGGGGAGGCTTACGCACTCGGCTCCCTTTTCACCTTGCGGTTAGCCAGCGGCAGCAGCTGAAAGCAGAAATTGCAAGCATCTTGCTAAAACTACACACTACTGCACTAGATGCTTCACTACATCATGTGTCTACTGACACTAACACATCTATCTTCTAATAATAGATAATTAAGATATGATATTTTATTTGTTTGACATGGATTATATTGAAAACGTAGGCCTATGCAACGTGTATAAATGCATTTGCAGATTTCAAGATTGATGAATTGATTTTAATTGATATTCTTCTTGCCATACTTCTATAGCGTGCTAGCAAGACCCAGAAGGAACCATCATCTAGGAGGTTCCCCAAACCGACCAACCCGGCATTGAACCCTGATACCACTGCTCCTGATGAGCCTCAAAATGTAAGCCTGCTCTATCTGACAGTGTTATTCCATCCTTACTATTTTGTAGTATTTTTTTTTTCAAACTGTTATTTTGAAGTTACTATTTTGTCTTCAAATGATTTTGTGGCTGGATCATTACAGAAAGAGCTAGTTTGTTTCAGAAACAAAAATACAAGACTAACGATACTGATCGTTATTGGAGCGCTTTGCAACGGTTTCAAAGAACTGTATGTTTACCATGGGAATTTACCATGTTCATGTAAAAATAGTAATAATTACCTACATGGCTGAGATACTAACATAAATAACAAATGACAAAAGTTAGAACATTTCAAAGGGATATACACACATTGTAAAGATCGATAACAATGTTAAGGTTATCATGCCAGACAGATAAAACGTAAAGGTGAATATCTTCGCCTCCAATTTGTATCATTCAATCTTTAACTACCTTTTACCATTGGCTTCTTTCCTTCATTATCATTTTCTTCAACAATCCTTTTTTTTTAAATTCCATCTTCATTTCTTTCTCCCCTTCTCCCTCTCTCTCTCTCCCTGACTTTAGGCTATGGATCCCAAGACCAAGAAGAAGCGCCTGAGAAAGTTCCTCAAGCGTGCTAGAAAGCTCAGGCCTAAGCACAAGCCTGCTAAGGCTGACGAGGAATAAAAAGATCGATTCAACAAAGATAAACTTAAAAACAACCGGATACTTTTGGATCATAAACAAACCTTCGCTTCAACTAAGATTATCATTTCAATGCTTAGAAACAACAAGCTACTTGTAGATCAAAAATAAAAACCTGCAAACTTTATAGGCTCTGTTTGGAATCAATATTGGACCACATAGAAATCAAAACTATTAAAAATGCTCCGGAAATCAAACAATTATTGTATGCATATGGAAGGCTTTGTAAATTGCCACTTACCAGTATTTTATATGCATATTACTTAGTAATTATTACACGGTTAAGTGATAATACCAAGAATCTAAATCCTTTACCAAAAGGTTCTGAACAAGTCACGAACAAATCTGAGATCATATTTCATATGAAAGAATCACCATCAACTATTATGTTGATAACTAATGCAAACAGATTTTTTTATATTACCGGCTGTATTATTTTGCAGCAAATAGTTATAATTATTTTCAAAAATGGTATTGCTAGAAAATGCAGTATGAATTGTTCAATACAAAATATGAAATGAAAACAAAAATATAAAAGAAAATACCACCCCCCCCCCCGAAAAAAACACCTATATTTAAAAAAAAAAGTTACTATTATCTTTTTTTTATCATGAAATTTACCTGAAATATGAATGTCTATGTATACTATGACAAGCAAATAAAAAAAAGATCAAGACTCTAAACTGTTTACTCATGATATTCAATGATTAATTGGGTAGTTTGGTAAAATAAAATCAGAAAGTCTGACTCTGCAAGATACAGATATGAATGGTGATAGAAAAAGTTAAACTAACAAATCTGATCTCATTTCTGTGGCGGCAGATGGCAATGTTCAGTGACTTCTCGAGTTATCCGAGAGGCAGTATAGCAATAAATAAATCTGTGTACATTGTGGTTGCGGTACTTGCGAGGACAGAGCGTGTTGCATAGTATATTATAGTTCAAGGCTATAAAAACCATCAAAACAGGCGTGATTGCATTTTGAAGCTCCTCATTTAGGTCGATCAAAAAGAGACCTATAGCGAATTAGCGCTTGTGCATTTCCTGATCAGCTAGTATATATTACGTTTATATATGTATCTAGTAGATCAAACTGTCTCTAAAAATCCGCCGCTTGTCACCCTGGTTCTGTCCACACTCTGCACTATTGTTGGTAACTATAAGACAAGTGCTGCCATCTTGAAATACTGACACTGTCTGTAGTACTATAGTGACAGCCCAGTGATAGTCTTAAAATTGCTGATATGGATCACACTCTAGCTTAAGTGATATAAGCTTGATGAATCACCCCCAAATATCATCATAATTATTCGTGGATCAAGGTGATTGAATATATGAATTTTGTATTCGTGTATTCGGCAGCAAGAGGCCCGCAAACATAATTTTATATTGTTCATGTATCTAGTTTGTTTTTATTACATTTTTACCATTTTTTTTTTTGCTCACTCGCAAAATGTAAAAACAAATGTGCCAACATTTATATTGACGAGTGCCAGAGTGATGCAAAATGTATCTTTTGTGATAAATTTGGGATTGAGATGACGCAAACCATTTCTTTTCTTAAAAAGGTGCCGTGACTAAAAAAGGGTGGACAAACGCTGCTATAACCTATACTACATAAAAATAAAATATGTCTTTCGTCTACCTGACAATGACAATGACAATTTATTCTCATGTCACCCACATTGGGGTTTTGTAGAAGTTATGATCAGTTTGCATTTTTCAATTTAACACTATACAGTATACAATTCAAATCGAATTAATAATAATCAATAAATTTATCACTAACGAAGGGCGCGACTTTTTGTTCGCGTATATGGTTTTACACCCGTCTGGTTCTAAGCAAATTAATATTTAGGCCTGTGTAAATCAAAAGTGAAAAACAAAACGTTAAAGACTGGTCAAGATCAAAGGCAACTAGATATAAGTCAGTTTTATAACGGATCCGAAGTGAGGTTCTTTCATTATTTCTGTCTGTCTTTCTTTCTTCGTAAGTTCTTCGGTCCATGTCGATGGGAATTTGGGGAAATATGAGCCGGGGAGAATGGCACAAACTACCACCAGTAGTCCGACGAGCGGTAGGGCCCCCAAACTGCCGCCCCCACCTGCTGATAACTGTTAAGAAATGAGAGGGAGTGAGGAGGGGAGGAGAAGGGGAAGGGGGTAGAGAGAGAGAGAGAGACGGACAGACAGAGAGACACAGAGAGAGAGAGAGAGAGAGGGGGAGAGAGAATCGCCTATTATAACCACGCCCACCATGCGCTTGCCACTCTGTGTAAAGAATGTACGTAAACATTACAAAACGTGGTGCGTGGCCGCCGCGATGGAGATTAATCTGAATCATATATAGAGAGAACCTAATAAACCATACTTCCGTAGTACGCAAATATGCAAGCAGGCAGACGATCGGAAAGAAAAAGGGATATGGTCCCTCAACTTGTCCCCTTTTCTAGCTCACTCTTTTGAATGACATTTTAACATAACAGATGGTTGGACGGTGTAAGGTCAATATGGCAAGGTGGGGCTATGCCCATGAAGGAGATACTCTCTGCGACTGCGGAGAGACTAGACGATCGGACCACCTCTTGCAGTGCGGCGGAACGGATTGCACAGAAGATGAAGACCTGTCCCTTGTTAATGAAACGGCCATTGCAGTAATCGAGCGATGGAAGAACTTAATTTAATTTAATTTACTTTTAATTAAGGAACTTTACATAACTATCTTGATCTAAGGAGACACGAACGAACGAACTTCAAAGCAAGGGCGTAGCCAGGATTTTTTTAAGGGAGGTGTTATTTGGCGGCGAATTATCCAGCCGGAGAATAAGCGGGGGGGGGGGGGGGCTCTAATTTGTTTGGGGGGCTCAACGGTGGGAGGGGGAGTGAAAAATCCCTTTTCCCCCTCAACTGCTTACCCCCCCCCCCCCCCTCGAGCAAAACAAAATAGTGCTTACCCCCTAGGAGTAGGGGCCATAGAGAGTGTCTTTAAAATTCTAAAACACCCCTAATTTACCAAGGGGGTGTTCGAACACCTCCCCCCGGCTCGCTACGCCAGTGCTTCAAAGAAGAACAAAAATTAAAGCCTTAATTTTCAACAAACTACGACTGTCCATCGAAAGTTTGCCTGCTTTTTACAATTGAAAATAATGATTCTGATGCTGTATTCATTTGACATGATAAATCTTTGATACAGGTGGATAAAAAAAACTTTACAAAACTTAGCATAACCAGAACTATGCTCGGGTCCCCCCCCCCCCTCAACATAGGGGAAGCCAGCTTTTCATGTCATCGGTGTCACCGTGTGTGCGACCTCCTGAACAGCCATATGCAGCTCATATTTACTAACAAATTCTTTCCCATGTGAACACAACATAGTGATAACAATGTCATAATGATAATATTGAACCTGGGTTCACCTAAAGCATCACGGAGTAGGGTCCTATAGGGGTATATATAGCCATTTTTTTGTTGTCGATCTTTGCTGGATCTTTGCGAGCCGCGCACTAACCTCCCCTAAATTAAAATGTAAGTCCACCCTGGTATTGAAATGATTTTATTAGAAGCAGAAAAATGAAAGAAACTGGTCAGTTCAAATTTGAGAAAAAAACTGATGAAAAATAAGAAAGTTTTGCATTTTTGAAGGTGCTATCAAATCAAACACAAATTGGCCCTAGCTGTACAAACAAAATCATTAAAAATATATATATATTTTTCCATAAGAAAATGTTCAGTCATACATTCAAATAAACATAATTGTTGCAATTATGTTTTCATACAAGCCCTGTATATCATGTATGACACAAATCTGTTCCGTCATCAATAACTACATAATTATATGGCATGATGACATTTTCTGTAAAGAGCGGCAGAGCTCGCAAGATACATTATGCAAAGTGTTGCCAAACGCTGATGATAACTCCAAAATTCATAACTTTCCTATTTTCAATCGTGATATTGCTCAAACTGTCACCAGACAAGCGCGTAGCCAGGATTTCATTTTAGGGGGGGGGGCGGTAGTGAGCACGCGAAGCGTGCGAATCACTTAAAGAGCGCGCGAAGCGCGCTCCCTAGGGGGGTGGGTGCAGGGAGGGGGGAGTTTCCCCCCTCCCGCGCGAAGCGCGGAAGCTTTGAAAGAAGACGATTCGTTGTACCTTTCTCGACTCATAATCCTTGTCTGAATTCAGTCCCTACCCTCTCTCGCGCGAAGCTTTGACGTTTCATTAAATTATTAGAGAAAGAAGACGATTCGTTGTACCTCTCTCGACTCTTAATCCTTATCTGTATTCAGTCCCTCCCCTCTCTCAAGCGAAGCTTTGACGTTTCATTAAATTATTAGAGAAAGAAGACGATTCGTTGTACCTTTCTCGACTCTTAATCCTTGTCTGAATTCTGTTCCCCCCCCCCCCTCTCGCGCGAAGCTTTGACATTTCATTAAATTATTAGAGAAAGAAGACGATTCGTTGTACCTTTCTCGACTCTTAATCCTTGTCTGAATTCTGTTTCCCCCCCCCCCCCTCTCGCGCGAAGCTTTGACGTTTCATTAAATTATTAGAGAAAGAAGACGATTCGTTGTACCTTTCCCGACTCATATTTCTTAATTTGAACTCAGTTTTCCCCTTCCCGCGCGAAGCGCGGAAGCTTTGACGATTCATTGTACCGTTCTCGACTCCTTTTCCCTTTTTCTTCCTACGTCCTCTTTCTTTTTTTTCTTCTCTTTCTCTCTCTTTTTTTTTTTTTGGCCGGCGTTTTTGGGGGGGCGACCGCCCCCACCGCCCCCCCCCCCCCCCCTGGCTACGCGCCTGTGACTGTCACTAATTTGTTTCTCTCATTGTCATATCAGCAGGGAATTAGAATGATTTCAGGGTCGGGACTACCCGTACTTTCTTAGACCGAATTTTCCGTCTCTTTCGTTCGTTAGCCTCTTATTGGGGTAGGGTCGGCTCTCTCTTTAGAGACGGAAGCCGTTTATACACATGTCCTTGCTAACGCCACGGCCAGTTCTGGTCGTAGCGTTTTGCCCCCAAAATCCCCCAAAATGTCATTTTACCTCGAGCATGTTATATTGTAAATTAGGCCTAGGCTATAATAAATCAGTTCCACTTACCAACTTGACTGAAATAATCAGTTTAATAGTCCCTTTTTAGGAAATTATGGGTCAAAATCGGAATCCATTTTGAAAAAGATTTTCAAAATGGATTTCGATTTTGACCCATAATTTCCTAAAAAGGGACTATTAAACTGATTATTTCAGTCAAGTTGGTAAGTGGAACTGATTTATTATAGCCTAGGCCTAATTTACAATATAACATGCTCGAGGTAAAATGACATTTTGGGGGATTTTGGGGGCAAAACGCTACGACCAGAACTGGCCGTGGCGTTAGCAAGGACATGTGTATAAACGGCTTCCGTCTCTAAAGAGAGAGCCGACCCTACCCCAATAAGAGGCTAACGAACGAAAGAGACGGAAAATTCGGTCTAGTACTTTCTACGCTTCGCATTCATGTCTCGCGCGTGTGAAAATGTACCACTGTGGAGCGGAGCTGACTTCACCATCTTTGTAATTAAGCTCTGTATGTAGCTAGCTAGCTGACTGTATTGTTAATGAATGGACGTCTGGTGAAAGTGACTTTGATCACATCAATTTGGTCCTTTCTGAGTTATTCTGGACAGATCGGACATTTTTGAAAGATTTCGGTAGGTGAGAATTTATCATTGCTATGATTATTTCCCTTTTTATTTATAGTTTTTTGGCCAAAGCAATGGTTTCAATGTGATGGTGCTCGTGCTCGTGCCGTAGCTGGTGTTGTGCGTGGCATGATCTTCTCCCCCTGAGTGCTCTACCGGACAAGACCAGTGCCATGCCCGGCCGCGCCCGGCCCATCCGCCCAGCCACGATCTACTGAGTAGATCTACTGGCTAGCTTAGACCGAATTTTTCTGTCTCTTTCGTTCGTTTCGTTCGTTAGCCTCTGATTTGGGTAAGGTTGGGTAAGAGCCGACCTTACACAAATCAGAGGCTAACGAACGAAAGAGACAGAAAAATTCGGTCTATGACTTTGGCTAGCTAAGTTAGTGGCTTGAGCCTTGAACTTGAACTATGATGCGATTGATGGGATGGGATGGGAGGTCTAGGTCTGCATGTCTAAGATTTCATTTGATATCGATTGAACAAGTATTTTCTTTGATTCTTGTATTAGGTCTAGATCTAATTCTCTTTGACTTTGGGAAACACGTTGGTCTCTTTGCCAATCCACTGGGATCGAGATGTCCATCCTCTACAGGGGCCCCACTCACAAGCATTGCTTTTTGGGGTCTCAATTTGGATCATGTTTGTTCGTCATGATTACTATGCCATGTGTTTTTTAATAAACTGAACTGAACTGAACTGAATTAAAAAAAGGATCGCACTCCGCATAAATGAGGTTTGTCTTCGTAAATGCAGACAGATGCGTCCGCAAAAATAAGGATTTCCGCAGACGTTTCATATTTCCGATCCGCGCGTTGGCAATGCAGAAAACGGATTCCGCAATGATTCTCTTGATGCATTTTATGTTGACTTTTTACAGGGACTTTCATGTAATATGAGCGATAAATCCTTGGGAAGATGGACAACCCATGAAAGTAGACGGTGACTAAACTGGGGTTGTTTTCTTACGTCAAAGCCTTTTTTCGCAGACCCGAAACCTGTAGAGCGACGATGAAAAAAAAAGGCATAAAAAAATGTGGACAATCCTTATTTTTTAGGATTTAATTTGTCCGAGGATATCCTCGTTCATTTAATGTGAACAATCCTCACTCTCGGACCAGCGCCCCTAGCACTGCCACTGGTTGTGTCGAATCCCATCAAATTTTGACAATATCATTCTGTATGCTCACTCATTCAATTTACATAAAAGGTAACATTTTGAGGCTCATGAACAAAATTAATCTATACGGTAGACCATTTCCCAACATATTAGTTTTACTCATTTTTTAGATGAACTAGTATTGCTGCAGTGCAACAAATTTGATAAGAGACAAAAAGCTGGTGTTACTATTGGTCACATTTTTTGTTACATGTATGTTTACATTACTTTTATGAGAAATACATGTGTGTATAAATTTAAGTCTTGATCGATGTACATGTAGTCCAACTTACACAAAAAACACCTGTACATCGACAGTTTTGAGCAATAGCTTGCAGGGTTGCCCTCTGATGAAAGCAAATAAATTACATTTTAAAAATAGTACTACAAATGTAGTACTAGGTGGAGAAAAAGATTGTGCCACTAGCATAGGAGAAAGAGAGAAACAGGAGAGAGGAAGATGGAGGAAAAAAAAAGAAAGAACAGATGTAAAGAGAGAAAGAAAGATAGACAGAAATGAAACAAAAGCCAAGAATTTAGAATACATCAGAGACTGTTGTGACTACAGTGGAAGTGTGAACTTTAATTTTTCATAAATTCTGCTTCAAATGGTACTGTACAGTCATTTTAAATAGGTATATGTTGGTTAACATGACACTTGATTTAATACGAGTCTGATAGCGGGGGAGTGGCAAAGATCAGAATGACAGCATATTTTTTTCAATCATGAAATATCATTAATCTTCTGTATCTTAATTTGCTCTGTTCTTGGTCTTGTTCCTTGTATATTGCTGACCTGTAGAATTATTAGCATTTGAAGAGAATGTGTAATATACCTGCAATTTCATGGAGGGACTCTTTAAGGTTGACTCCTTTTTTTTTGTGAGGGGGGGAGGGGGGATAATAATTTCTACTTGTCAGCTTGTAATCCCCCCCCCCTTTTTTTTCTTTCTTTTTTGTACCAGTCATGTGGATGACATTAAAATTATAGTTTTTCCTTTCCACAGTATTACTGGTACCCAATATTTGAAAGTACATTGAATGGCCATGATAAATAATACATGAAGGTATCCTACATGTACCAGCAATAATGACTACAGCTGTGTTGGGGTTAACTAAAGGAAGTGTAGCTCTAAAGTTTAAAGAAATGACGGCATTGCACATGATTTCAAGTCCAAGATGATCATGCATTACTATACTCATTTAAACTGTTCACAGATTTGATCACATAATTATTGGTGTATATTTAATTTAATTTCATAGGGAAGGGGTCTAGTTGAACCCAGTGGCCATCATGTTTAAGGTGCAGGCGTCCCGTGCGGGCACCATCCTACCTCGTATACGGGAGGCATGGCAATTCAGGCAGCTACAGAAGACGGCCACTCCTTCCTGTGCGGTGCTATCCACCAACAGTTTCCATGGAAACAGATACAGGTCTAACATTGCACAGGAGCAGGCAACAGAGAAGAAAAAGATTGAGAAACTGATGGTTGCCAATCGAGGTAAGAAAATATGTATACATGTACGTGACATCATTTTACCAATTTCTATTCTAACCTCACACATCATTACATGTACAAATTTTTCTTGAAAATTGATTTTAAAATACATTATTTTACAATTATTCATTAATCTGTTGAGAAACTTATTTACTGTACATGTTAGGATTGATTTCTATATATCGCATCAAAGTATTTTTTACCTATGGCAGTTTCATATTTATAGTTGGTTCTAAGGTTCTCTATTCTTGTTCAAAATATTGAACAAATAATGCCTATAAATATGAATGTTATTGTGCATGCTCCATAACAAAGTATTTTTGTTGAATGGAAATGAATATGGAATTGAATTTAATGGAATTAAATTGAAATATCTGTAGATAGAAAATCAAACAAAATGATACAAGGAATGAGGGCTTTCTCTCTCTCTCTCTCTCTCTCTCTCTCTCTCTCTCTATTAACTGCATGTATGAAACTCCAGCTTACTAAGGAGTTTCTTTCTATTCCTTCCCGTTATTAGGTGAGATAGCGATTCGAGTATTCCGAGCATGTACGGAGTTAGGCATCAGAACAGTGGCTATCTACTCTGAGCAAGATAAGGGTAACATGCACAGGGGCAAGGCAGATGAAGCATACCTCATTGGACAGGGATTACCACCCGTAGCTGCATACCTCTCTGTACCAGAAATCATACAAATAGCCAAGGTATTAAAGGTCTTACCACAAGAGTTCAAGCCGTTATAGTAAAGGGTTTTCATGGGAATTTGACACCATTCTGGTGTTAACCCACTAGCAGGTGTTGTCAGTAACCAAGAGTGGACTTCACTTTTACAACAAACAGATCTTGTGTAATGCATTGTGCCCTAGCCTACCACCTAAGGGAATTATCAGCATTTATATCAAATTTCCCTCAACGTCAAGACATAGGCAAGTTGGTGGGACTTCAGGGTTCGCCGCTTCAGAGACCTTTACACACACAAACACATTAATTGGTAATTCAACCAAATAAAGTGTTAGCAAATTATGATGCAAATATGGAAACTGACTAAAATGTGGCTTGTCACGTTTGCTCATTCCTTCTCCCTATGTTGCCTCACGTCCATACCGTTTTGTCCACAGTGGCCTGAAACGTGATTGTCTTGGCCGCCAGGAACATAATGTAAACCTAGCATAAACGGTTAAGGGGTATGAAGAAAAGAAAGGGTAACATTAAAGGATGCGCATGGAACCAAAGTTGGACTTGGGTTTGCGCCCTATTCCATGCAAGTACGTACATGTATGTGCATGTTTTAAAAGTAGTCTACTCAACAAAGCGTTTTGTAGTTCATTGTAAGGCTGCGACGAGTACTCTGATACTTCAGTACTTGCACTGTTACAAACTACTCGAGTATGATTTTTCTTACTCGTACACACTAAGGCTGCGACGAGTACTTGAATACTCGAGTACTCGCACTGTTGACAACTACTCGAGTACTATTTCTTGGTGCCGATTTATGCCCCTCCACCTGGCACTGTGCCGGGCGGCTGACGCTCACCCGTATCCGAAAAAGTACCGGCATGGTACCGTTAGTAAAAATGTTTCCCAGCTCAATCATACACGGGGTGTCACTGTCAACTCACCTCTCAAAAACTATGTAGGACCAAACAAGCTGCCAATGTCCGGATTTCGTTTTGAACTTGGAAGAATAATTTATTTGTCATCTTTAGTTTTAAAAACAACATTGCTACTATTATTTGTCACAAGTTCACAAGCACAAATCGACGCCTTCAACTGCAACTTAAAGTATATTTGCGAAGGTTTTCAAAGACGGACCTGAGGTGCTTCCTACAACGTCAGCAAAAAAAATAACAAATCTGAGCTGCGCCATCTCTTGGCGGCTGTTGGCCTCAATATGATTAAAATCATAGCAGGGAATTTACTACGAGTACTGTGCAGTTTGGTGTTAAATCACCACAAATGAAGGTTAGGTTTTTATGGTATTAATTTTTTAACAATTTTTATTTCCCTGCCGTGTCTAGAAAAATAAGGGTCTGTTTAAAAAAATAGGAATAATTTTTTTTTTTTTTTTTTTTTTTTTTTTTTAAAAACATGGCCGTCAAGTATCTGCCTGTAAGTCTGGGCATTTACTCAAGTACCTCAGTACATGGTTATACACAGCCTTAGCTCATTGACAGTGTATTTAAACTGCAATATCTCTTTTTTAAACTTTTATTTGAAGCTCATAGTTTGAATGAGGACAGCTACATGGAATCCCTTACATCAAGACAAAAAACATGTTTCTGTGATCAGAACACATACACTTACAATACCTATATGTTTATATGGTTAGAATGAAAAGATATATTATGGTTCTTTTAAAGCCAGAAACTTTTGCCACATGATTTTCTAGTCACGTCAATATATGGTTTGATCCCTAACAAATTGCAACAAAAGGTTTGTCAACAGGTTTTTAGTTGTGTTTGACATCAGAAATAACATACTAAAAGTCTCAGAAAATTGCACCTCCGGGAAGTGGTTATTTTCAAAATGGTGTCTTAGATGGCAGCCAGTACTTAAAAAGAGACATAATTCAGGAAATTCATCAAGATTGTTTTCATGTTATTTTCGCTATCAAGTAAAATACATGTGATAGACTGAGAACAACAGATTATGGTTAGTTGTTATCAAGGTAGATCCCGTCATGTTTGATTTATATAAGAAATTGTTGCTGGTAACTATTCCGAATGTCTTTTGTTATGCCACAGTGTATCTTACTTCAGTGTAATTTTTAAGTTCATGATAGTGCAAGATAAGACAAGGTCAAAGAGTGAAAAATATTTGTGTTTGTTGAAATCTTTCCAAGGGAAGTACCGGTATTAGACTTTTACTCGCAGCTTCCAAGTAATATTAATTTTATATTTTGATTTCATTAGTAAAGTAAGGTTGGAACTTTGTTGTAGATTCCACTCATTTGAAGGACTTTTCAAACATTACTGGAAATATCTTATCATAATACAGTGGAACCTGCTTTAGCAACTATCTATCTTCCATAAAGACCATAGAGGTCGACTTAATATTTCCCATAAAAAAGGTAGCTCATTAAAGGTAATACAAAGTTTTGGGAAATTTTGAAAATTGGGTGGATAGTGATTCTTTACAAGTTTGATATATTTTGATGCCCCTGTGGATGTATTGTAAGCACTACAAAATTTAGCCCCTAAAACACTTCTACTTTCGAGAAAAATTTAATATAAAAATTTACCGGTGCTCCCGGTAAATTTTGATAAATTTCAAATAGCGCCTACGGCCGTAGAATGGTACATGTAGCTGCGACCATGAAAATCTCAGAATATGTAGTTGTGACATGAAATTTCCAAATGGGAATAGCTAATCGGTCGATTATAGTCAAGAAACATTGTTTTATAGCTTAATTAATATCTTGACCTTGAGAGGGAGCTATACAACATAAAGAGTTTATTATTTACAATTCATAACTTACGACTAGATTCCAACCGCGACAACGATCACTGAATATTGTAGGATCACATATGCTTCCAATATGTTCATTTGAACCAATTTCAAGATCCCATACCAAAACTTTGTATTACCTTTAAGATGCGCCTATCATATAGATCTTTGAACAGTATTTATAAAGGTTTCATTTTTATGATTGTGTTTGGCTATTTTCTGCATTGCTTGAAAGTTTAATGCTGATCAGCATGTGAACATTTTGTACACATTTGTTTAAAGAAAAAGATTATCTTGATAACCCAAATAGCTTGACTGACTACCTGTACCTGCAATATACATGATAGATATGGTGTTTTATATACATGGCAAGTGAATTGAGCAGTTCCTTACCAGTATTTCTTTGAAGTCTTTTTCAATGCATAAGTGGTCTGTAATACAATGTATATACAGTAAACAGCTGGGACAACAGTTCTAAAGTTACACTGCAAACAAAAGCTTTAGCTACTGCATAAATTGGCTTGCAGTGACTTTATATTATAGGCAAGCATGAATTAAATGTACTCAAATCAATATCAACTATAAAAAGCTAGAGTGTAGTATTTCTGCACTGGAAAGCTACTGCTTCTTGGACAGACAACATATTCCTAAAATGCTAACCCATCTGTTACATTCAAATGTAAATAAATGAAGAGTGCATTTATTGAATAAAAAAATTATTCTATACCGTATGTAGTGGAATTTCTTCTTACATGTACATGCAACCTTCAAATATTGAGATTCAGTAACAGACAATTTTCTTTGTTGCTATGAACATGAAACCAAGTCTGCTTGAAATGTTTTCTTAGTTGACTTATCTCTAATCAAACATACTCATTTACTCATGTACTCATTTCTGTGTAAAGTGCATGTGGCTTTTAGGAAGCCTAAGCAGATTTCTTATCATTTTGATGATTTCAAAACCTTGCAGTATGTCAAAAAGGTTAACAAAATTGTTTTCCTGTTTGTCAGTGAAAGATGTGCAAAGTCCAGCCTTGCAGTGTGAATTCATAATAAGATTTTGTTATTTACCAGGGTAATAGTAAACTGAAAAAGTGCACTTATCAGTTATTATGAAAGAGAATTTTCATTGTTATTCATTCCCTATATGGTACATCAATAAGAAGACATGCTAAAGATTAGAGAGACAATTCAAGAACAAATAGTTTTTCTTTTTTTTTAAAGTGATGATTTTCATACCAACCAAGCCAAACCATCTATAACATGTGTGTGTGTGAGCTAATACATACTTATACTAAAAGATGACGCCTGCCTTCTGAAAGATCTTGATGTCATTGATTCTTGTAAATAACACAAATTGTTTCTTTGCATTTTGTTTCCTTTTAGATCTTAAACTAGGGGTCTTGTGCAGTCTCTGAAGGGACATGTACATGTACAACATACACATACATGTACTTAAATAATCTGCAGTCTGGTCAATATTCTTGTACTCTTTATTTTGATTACACACATGTCTTTTGCTGAAAGCCAGAAGAGAGATTTGCATTTGCCTTAGAGTTAATACCCTTCTGGTTCTTAGCGGACGCCACACAGTTAGCACAATTACAGTAAGAAAGAAAGTAAGAAGTAATACTAGTCAAGTGGTTAGAAGACTTAACTTAGAATGTGAGGGTCATTGGTTCAAGCCCCTTCATGGTACTGACATTCGCCACTCCATGACGACAAGAGAAATGGGGACCTGTTATGATGACGGAAACTATTGCTATATGCCCTCGCGGTGGATATATGGTAGAAATATTCCCCAAGGAATGGAGATGGTGTGCACATTGTGTGCATGACTTGGTATGTTCTCTATCAAGAGCGTATTATTGCCTATTGCCTATCAAGCGCTATACTGTATTTGTATACCAGCGGTTATCTTTGAACGTAAAACCTTCTTAACCTAGTTGTCCACAAACTATGTGCTAAACCTATGTATTTAATTGGCAACTACTGTAGCTTAGTTAAGGTTTAACGAGTATGGGCCCCGATTTATTATTTCATGTTGTTCACAAAATGCCTGTACACTGTATCTCATTTTTTATTTGTTGATTGTATAGGAACACAAAGTGGATGCCATTCATCCTGGGTATGGCTTCCTATCTGAGAGAGCAGACTTTGCCAAGGCTTGCACAGATGCAAACATTAGGTTCATTGGTCCTTCTCCTACAGTGGTACATCAGATGGGTGATAAGGTGGAAGCCAGACAGATCGCTATAGCAGCAGGTAAATATAATGATATGAATAATCATAGCAAACATTCCTTATACGCTCCTATCCATCCCAGGGATGTTCAAGGTGCCTAACCAAATTCAGATATATAAGAAACAGTTAAGAAAATTACTCATTTATAAGCAAACAAAATATGTGGAAAACAATGAGAAAATTATACAGTAGGCTTGCTGTTGCACCATGTGAGAGAGAGGGAGGATTGGGAAGTCCTGAAAAGGACTGTTGGTTATCTTTCTTGGCTTATAGTTCTAAGGAGAACTATAGCACCGGTTGGAGAGGATAGGTGGCGGGAGTGGCTCGACGTTTCGAACAAGTTGACTATCCGTCGTCAGATGGGGAATAACTGGCGTGCGTGACCTTAAAGGCATCGTTTAACAATGTTAAATCTGAGATGCACGGCCCTACATGTTCTCAGTGCCTGTGATATGGTGTAATATTGAAGCCCTAAAAAAATTGCGCTTCAAAATGATCAAGAAGTGCCTCAAAAAAGTAAAAATCTTAGAGTGACCGGTTTTACCATACTCGTTTTCCCCGAATAGACTGTACTGTTATGTAAACTGTTTGGCAAACGGTTTTCATAATTTGTAATTCCAATCATAAATATCTTGACAATCAGACAGGCGATCGGCTTGTAAAAGTCATGGGGTTTCTGACTGACCTAAAGGTTTATAATTATAATTATCATTGCAGCATGAGCTAAATCCAGTACTTTGTTTCAGAATCTGAGACAAAGTTACCATATCCCTTTAAGTCACTGGGGTGCAGACGTGGGGGTACTATACATGATCGTGTGGGCTTCAGTCACCGTGGTGTGGACTTGGGTGGTCTGCTTGTCCGTCTGGGCTGGAGTCTCCGGGTTGCGGACTTGGAGATGCTTCGAATCCATGAGTGGGGTGTGGTGTCGGCGAGACGTTGTGTGTGTTCCTGATGTAGGCGGCGTTGTAGTCTGCTGTCTTCTAATGTGCCTTGTAGCTGTGAGGCTGGCGGCTGCTTTGTGAGTTCGGCTGGTGGCGGTGGTTGATGTACAGGTGCATGCGGCGGAGGTGTAGGTGGTGGTGGGGGCGTGACCGGGTACTTGTTGATGACGGGTTTGAGAAAATTGATATAACAATGGATAACAATATAAAATATAATCATGGACATTAACTGAAAGATTTTGATGAGTTTCAAGTTTCTTTGTAACGATTTGAGAGTGGATGAGATTCAGATTGAGTGGGGTAGGAGTAATAAATGCTCTGCGACCCTTATTAAACCATTTTCAATAAGGTAAATTATGACCAGAATTGAAGTATTGAAAATCATAGAAATATGGCATATAACATTTACAGTTTATATCAGGTCCTCATTGGAAAAGGACTGTATGAGATTGGCCTTCATCTTCTGATTGTTCTGTCTTGCCAAACAGGTGTGCCGGTGGTACCAGGAACTGATGGACCAGTCACTACCACACAAGAAGTAGAAGTGTTCTGTGAACAACACGGCTTTCCAATCATCCTCAAAGCAGCATATGGAGGGGGAGGAAGAGGCATGAGGGTCGTCCGCTCTATGGATGTAAGTGGGTGGGAATAAGGCAAGGGGGAGGAAGAGGCATGAGAGTTGTCCGCTCTATGGATGTAAGTGGGTGGGAATAAGGCAAGGGGGAGGAAGAGGCATGAGGGTCGTCCGCTCTATGGATGTAAGTGGGTGGGAATAAGGCAAGGGGGAGGAAGAGGCATGAGAGTTGTCCGCTCTATGGATGTAAGTGGGTGGGAATAAAGCAAGGGGGAGGAAGAGGCATGAGAGTTGTCTGCTCTATGGATGTAAGTGGGTGGGAATAAAGCAAGGGGGAGGAAGGGGCATGAGGGTCGTCCGCTCTATGGATGTAAGTGGGTGGGAATAAAGCAAGGGGGAGGAAGGGGCATGAGGGTCGTCTGCTCTATGGATGTAAGTGGGTGGGAATAAGGCAAGGGGGAGGAAGAGGCATGAGAGTTGTCCGCTCTATGGATGTAAGTGGGTGGGAATAAGGCAAGGGGGAGGAAGAGGCATGAGAGTTGTCCGCTCTATGGATGTAAGTGGGTGGGAATAAGGCAAGGGGGAGGAAGAGGCATGAGGGTCGTCTGCTCTATGGATGTAAGTGGGTGGGAATAAGGCAAGGGGGAGGAAGAGGCATGAGAGTCGTCCGCTCTATGGATGTAAGTGGGTGGGAATAAGGCAAGGGGGAGGAAGAGGCATGAGAGTTGTCCGCTCTATGGATGTAAGTGGGTGGGAATAAGGCAAGGGGGAGGAAGAGGCATGAGGGTCGTCTGCTCTATGGATGTAAGTGGGTGGGAATAAGGCAAGGGGGAGGAAGAGGCATGAGAGTCGTCCGCTCTATGGATGTAAGTGGGTGGGAATAAGGCAAGGGGGAGGAAGAGGCATGAGGGTCGTCCGCTCTATGGATGTAAGTGGGTGGGAATAAAGCAAGGGGGAGGAAGGGGCATGAGGGTCGTCTGCTCTATGGATGTAAGTGGGTGGGAATAAGGCAAGGGGGAGGAAGAGGCATGAGAGTCGTCCGCTCTATGGATGTAAGTGGGTGGGAATAAGGCAAGGGGGAGGAAGAGGCATGAGGGTCGTCCGCTCTATGGATGTAAGTGGGTGGGAATAAAGCAAGGGGGAGGAAGGGGCATGAGGGTCGTCTGCTCTATGGATGTAAGTGGGTGGGAATAAAGCAAGGGGGAGGAAGGGGCATGAGGGTCGTCTGCTCTATGGATGTAAGTGGGTGGGAATAAGGCAAGGGGGAGGAAGAGGCATGAGAGTTGTCCGCTCTATGGATGTAAGTGGGTGGGAATAAAGCAAGGGGGAGGAAGAGGCATGAGGGTCGTCTGCTCTATGGATGTAAGTGGGTGGGAATAAGGCAAGGGGGAGGAAGGGGCATGAGGGTCGTCTGCTCTATGGATGTAAGTGGGTGGGAATAAGGCAAGGGGGAGGAAGAGGCATGAGGGTCGTCCGCTCTATGGATGTAAGTGGGTGGGAATAAAGCAAGGGGGAGGAAGGGGCATGAGGGTCGTCCGCTCTATGGATGTAAGTGGGTGGGAATAAAGCAAGGGGGAGGAAGGGGCATGAGGGTCGTCTGCTCTATGGATGTAAGTGGGTGGGAATAAGGCAAGGGGGAGGAAGAGGCATGAGGGTCGTCCGCTCTATGGATGTAAGTGGGTGGGAATAAAGCAAGGGGGAGGAAGGGGCATGAGGGTCGTCCTCTCTATGGATGTAAGTGGGTGGGAATAAAGCAAGGGGGAGGAAGGGGCATGAGGGTCGTCTGCTCTATGGATGTAAGTGGGTGGGAATAAGGCAAGGGGGAGGAAGAGGCATGAGAGTCGTCCGCTCTATGGATGTAAGTGGGTGGGAATAAGGCAAGGGGGAGGAAGAGGCATGAGGGTCGTCCGCTCTATGGATGTAAGTGGGTGGGAATAAAGCAAGGGGGAGGAAGGGGCATGAGGGTCGTCCGCTCTATGGATGTAAGTGGGTGAGAATAAAGCAAGGGGGAGGAAGGGGCATGAGGGTCGTCTGCTCTATGGATGTAAGTGGGTGGGAATAAGGCAAGGGGGAGGAAGAGGCATGAGGGTCGTCTGCTCTATGGATGTAAGTGGGTGGGAATAAGGCAAGGGGGAGGAAGAGGCATGAGGGTCGTCTGCTCTATGGATGTAAGTGGGTGGGAATAAAGCAAGGGGGAGGAAGGGGCATGAGGGTCGTCTGCTCTATGGATGTAAGTGGGTGGGAATAAGGCAAGGGGGAGGAAGAGGCATGAGAGTCGTCCGCTCTATGGATGTAAGTGGGTGGGAATAAGGCAAGGGGGAGGAAGAGGCATGAGAGTAGTCCGCTCTATGGATGTAAGTGGGTGGGAATAAGGCAAGGGGGAGGAAGAGGCATGAGAGTTGTCCGCTCTATGGATGTAAGTGGGTGGGAATAAGGCAAGGGGGAGGAAGAGGCATGAGAGTTGTCCGCTCTATGGATGTAAGTGGGTGGGAATAAGGCAAGGGGGAGGAAGAGGCATGAGAGTTGTCCGCTCTATGGATGTAAGTGGGTGGGAATAAGGCAAGGGGGAGGAAGAGGCATGAGAGTCGTCCGCTCTATGGATGTAAGTGGGTGGGAATAAGGCAAGGGGGAGGAAGGGGCATGAGGGTCGTCTGCTCTATGGATGTAAGTGGGTGGGAATAAAGCAAGGGGGAGGAAGGGGCATGAGGGTCGTCCGCTCTATGGATGTAAGTGGGTGGGAATAAGGCAAGGGGGAGGAAGAGGCATGAGAGTCGTCCGCTCTATGGATGTAAGTGGGTGGGAATAAGGCAAGGGGGAGGAAGGGGCATGAGGGTCGTCTGCTCTATGGATGTAAGTGGGTGGGAATAAAGCAAGGGGGAGGAAGAGGCATGAGAGTTGTCCGCTCTATGGATGTAAGTGGGTGGGAATAAAGCAAGGGGGAGGAAGGGGCATGAGGGTCGTCTGCTCTATGGATGTAAGTGGGTGGGAATAAGGCAAGGGGGAGGAAGGGGCATGAGGGTCGTCTGCTCTATGGATGTAAGTGGGTGGGAATAAGGCAAGGGGGAGGAAGAGGCATGAGAGTTGTCCGCTCTATGGATGTAAGTGGGTGGGAATAAAGCAAGGGGGAGGAAGGGGCATGAGGGTCGTCTGCTCTATGGATGTAAGTGGGTGGGAATAAGGCAAGGGGGAGGAAGAGGCATGAGAGTTGTCCGCTCTATGGATGTAAGTGGGTGGGAATAAGGCAAGGGGGAGGAAGAGGCATGAGAGTTGTCCGCTCTATGGATGTAAGTGGGTGGGAATAAAGCAAGGGGGAGGAAGGGGCATGAGGGTCGTCTGCTCTATGGATGTAAGTGGGTGGGAATAAAGCAAGGGGGAGGAAGGGGCATGAGGGTCGTCTGCTCTATGGATGTAAGTGGGTGGGAATAAAGCAAGGGGGAGGAAGAGGCATGAGGGTCGTCTGCTCTATGGATGTAAGTGGGTGGGAATAAAGCAAGGGGGAGGAAGGGGCATGAGAGTTGTCCGCTCTATGGATGTAAGTGGGTGGGAATAAAGCAAGGGGGAGGAAGGGGCATGAGAGTTGTCCGCTCTATGGATGTAAGTGGGTGGGAATAAAGCAAGGGGGAGGAAGGGGCATGAGGGTCGTCCGCTCTATGGATGTAAGTGGGTGGGAATAAGGCAAGGGGGAGGAAGGGGCATGAGGGTCGTCCGCTCTATGGATGTAAGTGGGTGGGAATAAAGCAAGGGGGAGGAAGGGGCATGAGGGTCGTCTGCTCTATGGATGTAAGTGGGTGGGAATAAAGCAAGGGGGAGGAAGGGGCATGAGGGTCGTCTGCTCTATGGATGTAAGTGGGTGGGAATAAGGCAAGGGGGAGGAAGAGGCATGAGAGTTGTCCGCTCTGTGTATGTAAGTGGGTGGGAATAAGGCAAGGGGAAGGAATTTTTTATTTTAAGTAATTGTAGAACAGTTGCTTGATTTTTTTAATGCCATTTCACTTAAACAGCATTCTATATAGACTTTTAAATTCATCTTATATCTGGCACAGAATCAGATATTCTCATTCCATTTATTCGTATCCAATCTCAATGTACGAACAGGAAGTGCAAGAGAACTTTGAAAGAGCATCGTCTGAAGCGTTAGCAGCATTTGGCGATGGATCCATGTTTATTGAAAGATATATTGAAGAACCCAGACATATTGAAGTGCAAGTATTAGGTAAGTTCTCTATGCAGACAATGTATTTGTGACTTGATTTTTATGTGTCAAAACACATATCATTACTGAGCATTGTTTTAGGGTTCCAAGGAAAAAAATGTATTTCATAGTGTGTTCATGCAAATCAATGAAATGAACTGTGGTTTGAAAATGTATGCAGTGTGTTGCACTTCCACTCTATTTCATCATTCAAAATTATGTTTATTTCAGGATTCACTATGCAATGACATCACAACAATTTTATATTAGTTACATATACAGTAAAAAAAAACATATACAAAATTGAAAAGCTACTGTAGGTATGAACCAAGTTATGTTGAACTTGGTAATCGATCTCCATCAATGTCCTATCTTAAATCCACCATTTCAATGTCCCCCTTAAATCACAGGTGACAAGTTTGGTAATGTCATCCATCTTTATGAGCGTGACTGCTCCGTGCAACGTCGACACCAGAAGCTGATTGAGCTTGCCCCTGCCCCTATGCTTGACCCTGTCTTGAGGAATAAGATGACATCCGATGCGGTCAAACTCTGTAAATCAGTCAACTATGAGAATGCCGGGACAGTGGAATTCCTTCTGGATAAACAAGGCAATCATTACTTTATAGAGGTCAATGCAAGATTACAGGTGGAACACACAGTCACAGAAGAAATTACAGGGTATGTATGCGAAGGTGTTTTTAAGTGACACATCAGAGGAATGTTTCACAAAGACTAAGATCGACTTTATTAAAGTATTAAAGTTAAATATGGCCAGTCGTTCATGCCACTGTTTGCTTTCACCATTTACTGGCATTGGTTTCTCAAGGGACGTAAAAATCAAGGTCACAAATCTACCAAATTTATATTTTGTGATAATTCATTATTGAAGGAAGTATCTATTAAAGATCTTAACAGTGAGAGCAAACACTGGCATGAACGACCTGCCATATTTAAGTCCAACTTAAAGTTGATATTAGTTTTTGTGAAACACTCACTAGATCTCTGATTTGGGTTGCTTAGTGGCATGAAAAGATGCATCTGTATAAAAGGCAAAATGCTTATTTGTTGGAAATCATAATATCACGCAGAGGTAGAAGCATGTTATCAAGCTATGGAGCTGGTAAATACATTTGCCATCTCGATATAGGCTTAATGTTTACCTAAACTTTAATTGAGATATGTCAAAGAGGAACTTTTAATTCACAACCCTCACCAACTGTTACGGCTTTTGCATTTTGGACACGTCTTTCTGTGCCACTACATTTTGCTAAGCTACGTTAAATTGATCATGATATGTCGGGCATGTACTTTATTTCTTTTGTGCAAATTTTATATAAATATTACATGGCTTCTCTTTTGTGTAGTGATAGATATCTTGGGTGATGTGATATTCTAAAAAAATGTTTACCTCTGTCGTAGAGAATAGATCATGATTTTTGTTTTTGTCACATCAAATGTTCAATTCCAACTTGTCAATGGGGTTTGTTCAGATGCGTTGAATGTACATAGCCACTTATGTACGGTCATTAACTATCATTAGATGCAGTTGTTCATATGCTAAAAAGCTTCACCCAAATTCGATCCATAAAGAAAAAAGTCTTGGTTCTGGATGGGTTATACAAATATATAATTGCGTAATTGTACAATCTGTTTTGGTGGATAAAATTTGCTTGAGATTTACTGCATGTATTTTGATGTAAACCCATTGCCTACTGGAACCGGTTGGCTCCTGTATTAAAGCCTATGGGAATGAGAACATTCAGTAGTCAACTAGTTAATGCTTTTGCTCTTTGCTACCGGTAGGGTTGACCTTGTTCAGTCTCAGATCAAGGTTGCTGAGGGTTATAGTCTCCCGGAGCTTAATCTCTCACAGGATGACATTCACATACAAGGGAGTGCCATGCAATGTAGGATCACTACAGAAGACCCTGCAAAGAACTTCCAACCTGATACAGGCAGAATTGAGGTAAGATATCACAAACTCTCCTTCCGCTTAAAGTGACTCGGTAATATTTTGATGGTTGATGAAAAAAGCAGGCAAAAAATTCTCAAACCACAAAGGTATTTATGGTTTTCTTTGAAGGCGTCACTGGTCAACACCCTCTAACAGTAAATTCTCCCAACCATTTTTTAATCATTCCAACCGTTTTTCCATGAAAATAAGACCAAAGACAGGGCTGACAGGCTTTAACACATCTTTCAACACTTAAATGTCTGGGATGGTATACAGAGCCAATGCATAGCTTTGTGACAATTTACATTCACTTAAAATGTAATTACATGTCAATTGTAATAATATTGTTCGGAGAATTAAAGAATCAGATCAGTTTTCCCAATTTTTATCATTAATAATGGTCCATTTTCACTCAAACTTTCAGATTATCTTTAATTGTACATCAAGCATTGAAGTCACTACCTTAGCACCATTTTCTCTCATCTGAACAATGTTACAAAGTCCCTTTAAGGAGAGTTTGTAAGGAGACAAAACTAGCATGAAATTGAAACCTAGTAATTCAGGTCATACAAGATCTGTAGAAAATACTTCTAGTTCATTTTTATTGCATTATGCCACTGCTCAAATGTATCCAAATTGAATATGAACATTTATAGGGAAGGTGGCTCATGGAGACACACATTCTTAATTGCATGTACACTGTATGTGATGGAAAACAAGAATATAGTATAAATAATTCTTATGAACTAATTAATTGACCCCGAAGGTACTAGTTCACTGACTTGATTTTAAAGTGACTCGGTAAAATTGTTGAGGGTTGATGAAAATATTGCCTAATTTTTGTATGAAATGTTACTTATTATATTCCATTTACTGTACTAACCCTCTGACATGCGAAAAATATGGGAAAATTTCTCAAACCACAAAGATATCTATGGTTTTCTTTGAAGGCGTCACTGTGCAACACCCTCTAACAGTGATTAACAGTAAATTTTGAATTTTCCCTGAAAAAAAGACATAAGACAAGCTATTAAAAATCTGTCAACACTTAAATGTCTGGAATGGTATATAGAGCCAATTTATTGCTTTGTGACGATTTACATTCACCTAAAAAATAATTAAATTGTAACATTATGGTTGGGAGAATTAAGGAATCGATCGGATCAGTTTTTCCGAATTTGTAGCATTGAATTTACTACTTTAGCACCACTTTTTCTCATCGGAACAATGTTACCAAGTCCCTTTAATCAGATGTAACACTTAGCCACACCAACGAGACTGACCCAAACCTTCAAATGAACAAACAAAACCCAATGGCACTTTGAAGAATTGGTCTCATATAGAGTTGGTTGGGAGTCATTACCAAAATAGTTCAAACTATGAATATCTGTTTGGGGTTGATCCTTTACAGGTATTCCGGAGTGGAGAAGGAATGGGTATCCGTATTGACAGTGCCCTAGCCTTTGCAGGTGCTATTGTGTCTCCTCACTATGACTCGTTACTAGTGAAGCTCATCTCTCGATCTAGAGACCATGAAAGCTCCGTCAGGAAGATGCTCAGAGCCTTGGCTGAGTTCAGGATAAGAGGAGTCAAGGTAAAACACAACTTAGACTTCAAACTAATTATGAGGTTTGGTAGTGGAAATATATTAAAATGTATGGTGAATAGGGTTTGATGCTATGCCAGTTGTTTTCATTTTATAGCATGTTTATAAATGTACAGTAATTCACCTTAAAGGGATTGGCTCTGATTTGTCTCTGATTCTGAAACAAAATCCTGATTTAGCCCATGCTGCAATGATAATTATAAACCTTTAGGTCAGTCAGGAAAACCATGACTTTTACAAGGCGATCGCCTGTCTGATTATCAAGATATTTATGATTGGAAATAACACTGCAGTCTATTGGGAAACACGAGTATGGTAAAACCGGTCACTCAAAGGTTTTTACTTTTATGAGGCACTTCTTGATCATTTTCAAGCGCAATTTCTTTAGGGCTTCAATATAACACCATATGACAGACACTGATAACACATAGGGCCGTGTATCTCAGATTTAACATTGTTAAACGATGCCTTTAAATAAAACTGCCTAGTATAATTTGTGTTTAAAGAAATGGCAAGAGAAAATATGGAGGGGGGAGGGTAAGCACACACCTGCGTGCATAAGTGACCAGTATTCATTCTCAATAATCTAGGTGTTGTAAGCAAAACAAAAAGAATATTAAAGCTCACTATAAAATATTATCTCATGTAATTTTGCTTTGTCAGTTCTTTCTCTCTCTCTCTTTATTCTTCTTTTTCTAAAGTGATGTCCTGCATTATTTTTTGGTAACAACTATTTTACACTTGTCTGAATTGTGCTTGTTTCTAGCTTTGTAAATTGGATTTGTACCTCCTTGTTTCCTTGTCCTTTTTGTTCTGTTCTTTATCTCTATTATCTTTTTCTTTTATACTGAAGACAATCAAAATTAGATTGGGGGAGTAGGGTGGGGAAGCATCAACTGACATGATCTGTTTTAATACTGAGATATACAATCAATACCTTATCTCTTTACAGACCAATATACCATTTCTTGAGAATGTGTTACGACACGAGGAGTTTGTATCCGGTCAGGTGAATACATCGTTTATTGATGAGAACCCATATCTAACAAGAGAATTCAAACCCAGTCAGAACAGAGCGCAGAAGCTACTCTACTACTTCAGTAATCTACTCGTCAATGGTCCTGCCACGCCCCTTGCTACCGGACTAAGGCCAGCTAACGTCACCCCGCCCATCCCAGAAGTACCCTATGGTAAGTAGAGCACATTGCTTTGAAAAGAGTTACTAGCAGATATCATAAATATTGCTAAGGCATTACACACAAACTGAACTTACTTTTTTGCACGTAAAAACCCACATATATATGTATAACTGCATGGCATGGTCATCTAGGAAATTTTGCCCCAGAAAGAGCTTACAACCTCTCATGCAAATTATGATTTGTATAACAGGGCGTCACACTAACTTTATTAGAATGGGTCCAGATTGAGCTTTTTACAGTCTGTCTGCATGAGCCCTGTGTAAAAGTGTCAACATGTGATGGGGAGGGGGGGGGGGGGGGGGGGGCTTGTGTCCCTGGCACCTGTTTGTCTCAAGCCCTATGTATATATAGTTTAGTGTTCTCATCCCTGTCTCGTGAATATGTTCATTGTCAAGATGTACTTAACAGTAATACAAAGTTTTGGGAAATTTTGAAAATGGCTTGATAGCGATTCTTTAAAATGTTAATATATTTGGATGCCCCTGAGGATGTATTATAAGCACTTGGTGTACTGTCCGCCTGGGATCTCATTACGATAGATGTCAGCATTGCCACTCTTCATGGTGACTGTGCATTCAAAGGGAGCGTAGAGTTGACGAGTCACCTCCCAGTATGAGCTGTATTTGAAGACCTCTTCCAATGCCACACCTGATACGTGTTATAAAGTAAATAAACAATTACTTGCCTACATGATTACAACAGATTGAGCTAGGATTTGTTTCCTAGATATTAAATATCAAACAAGTGATAACATTGAAATCTTACAGTTCCTAGATAAATTTTCCCCATGGTAAATTTTGATATATTTCAAATGGCGCTTACGGCCGTACAATGGTAGCTGCGACCCTGAAAATCTCAGAATATGTAGTTGTGATATATAATTTCCAAACGGGAATAGCAAAATGGTCGATTGTAGTCAAGAAACATTGTTTCAAAACTAAATTAATATCTTGACCTTGAGAGGGAACTATACAACATAAAGACTTTATTATTTACAATTTCATCACATTAGACTCGATTTCAACCTCGACAACGACCACTGAATGTTAAAGGATTGCATATATGCTTCCAAGATGTTCATTTTAACCAAATTCATGACCCCACATCAAAACTTTGTATTACCTTAATGTAACTGTGGAATAGATGTTTATGAGTTGCAAATTTGAAGAGTTTAGATAATGAGTTCCTGAGGAAAACTGTCTTGATGCAATAATCTACAATTTCTTCAAGACTCCATCAGGGGAATTGAAAGTTGATGGTCTTGCTAAAGTAAGATAACTGTTTCAAGAATATTGTTGTAAAGATTGTTTCCAAATTGAGTTGATGTTAAATGTAATGCTCTGGGCTTATTATAGGAGGAGCAAATGGAAGCTATCATTCCAATGGTAAGTTCAAACATGTGCAAACTCAGGGACCTGCATTCCAAATCTTTTTGGGATTGCATTCTTTCCGTACAAATGCATGAAATAGTCTGCAGAATTGGATCCTACTAACAGTGTTGAAAGCATGCTTTTCTATGTGTCTATAATTCTAACCATGTTAAAGAATATAGCTGTAACCTTTGACATTCTAATATCTTTATATTATCAATATTTTCATTCATCAATATTGGTGATTTCAATTGACATATCCTTTGTGTTATATGTATATATATATATATGTGTATTTATTACCAATGCCAGCAAGAAGGCCCCTACTGCCATTGACAATTCTTGTAGGGAGCTAACAAAATGTTCCAGTGATGTTTTTGAGAGCAGGAGACAGCCTTGAGCAGTGCATCATTGTGGCTTTTTAAACCCACAGTTTTCTCCACAAGTTTCTCTACAAATTAGCACCAGTTATTTGTATTTTCCACTCTTTCATAGTTTATAGGTACTATGTCCCATTTGCAGGCCAAAAAAAATGAAAAGGTTAAACTCATGGCATTTGAAAGCTAATACTAATTAAGAACTTCCCTCTAAACAAAAGGGCTTGAAAAATGTCTTTTTAGGGAAAATAACGAACTTTAGTTGCCGAATCAAATTTAGATATTGCAGTAATTTTTATTAAATAGTCTGATTTTCAGACCCTGGTACCGAAGATTCAATCAGTTTAATTTTGGCAATTACAAGAAGTGGGTTATTGATGTAGACAAATGCTCATGTACCCTTTACAGCTCATATTATATGTACATGTGTGTTATTAACAAAGAAAAAAGAAGTCAGTCAGTCACCCAATAGTGTCTGACAGTGAAGTCCAGAAAAAAGTTGGGTTTCCTTGCATAATTTGAATACTAGGACACTGCTAACGTTTAAATTTCACAGATAGGACATACGTGACATATTCATAATTCCTGCAAAGTTCTTCAGAATTTGATGTTGGCTGCAAAAGAGATACACTACCTTTAAAATTAACTCTTTCATAATTTAAATGAACGAATGTAATGAAAATTATAAGAACAACAACAAGTAATGATAATGAATTTCCAATTTGTACACACAAAATAATGATTTTAAATTTCACCCTGCATTGCCAATTAAGAGACTTTAGTGATGATTGCATACAGAACTAAACTCATATTTTCTGGTGATATTTGCACTTTCTGCTCATGTACTATTTGTATAATTTGTAAGTCCTAGCATTCTTGATCAAAAGATCAAAATACCAGAGGCCTTGAAGAGCAGCTATAGGTTAACAGGGCACACAGTAATGGTGGCGGTGCTTATGACTTGTGTATCAATGGCGGGTTGCAAGGGTGGGCTCATTTCCTCTTTAGCTGCACACTGGTGAATGGTTTCCTCTGTGTCTCATGCTTCTATCACATGAACTTGTAATAAAATACTCTGTTAAAATATAACTAGAAATTTTTTGTGCTCTCATAAATTATTCTTCATATTTTTGCCATATTTCTCTTGGATAATTTTTTTATTATTATTAATTGATGTTCATTTTATTATCATTAATTGATGTTCATTTTATTATTAATTGATATTCATTTTGAACAAATCCAAATCTCTGTTAAAAGAAACGGGTACGTTACATGTATGGGGATTTAGCACATTTGTTTAATTAATTGAAACAAGTATAATTGTTTTGATTGCATATATTTCTATCGTGCAAAATATATTTCAATGCAAGTCAATACAGTAATACATGTCATGAATTTTTTTTTTCTTCCTTCAAATGTGTTGTCTTTCAAGTATTATTGTTATTATACAAATAATACACAGGTGTGAGTCATTATGGTCAATGCAGCGCATGAGGGTTTTCACTATGGTGTAATAAAATTCATGAGGCGTAGCCGAGTGGATTTTGTGCCATTATGAATCCCCGAATAGCGCTGCATCGCCATAACGTCACGAACGAAAACCTTTGTATTATTTGTTTTATAAAATGGGTCAACAATTTTACTTAGCAAGGTGATAACATTGTAAAACTGCAACCTTCATAAAAAAAATAACGTGTGCACACAGACGATTGCGGCAGCAGTGGCCTTGTAAACAGACTGTGCAGTGCATGGTGCGACTTCTCGTAAACATGCATTGAATTACACGCAGCGTGCATTATGCCTTTTTTTTTGCACCTTTTTTGCACGGCTGTTATCACAAAAATGCACTCCCATGCGCGTATGGTTAATTATAATGCACACACATGTGGTCCATTTTGACGCTTCTCATTCTTACATTCTTGAACCCATTTTATAATGAATGATGGCAGATGATAGTAGTAGGAAGTTGCAATTTATGAAAATGTCTGATTACAGTACACGCCGAAAATCTCCGCAACACGATTTACACGATTCAAAATTTACACGATTCGACTGCTCGCGGGAATCGTGTAACCATTTATTTTTACACGATTCGTTTTTTGCCAATGAAGCGAAATTTGAATCGTGTAAACGTGTAATCGTGTAAAATTACACGATTCCTCAATTCAGGTCGAATCGTGTAATCGTGTAATCTGCCCGCCGAAAATCTCCGCAACACGATTACACGATTCAAAATTTACACGATTCGATTGCTCGCTGGAATTGTGTTACAATTTATTTTCAGTGGTGATGGTGAGCAGGTTAAGGACGTCTAGTTCAGTAAAAGCAAGAAGTTACTTCTTGGTTGAACGAGGACAACGTGGACGATATGAGGGGATAGCGAAGATTACGCTTTCTTTCTCTTGTATATATTTTTAATTGCAGTGTCTTGTCTCTAGTTTTATTATAGAATGTTTGAAAGTTAAAAAAATTAGTCCACTTCCCGAAAAGCACTCTCGGATTTAACCCTCGGTGAGAAAAAAGAAAAAAGCGATGAACGACGAAGGAAGGGGGGAATTTTGTTATTCCTAAGTTGTAAATAAGTAAAAATGATTACAAAATGTAAAGGAGGGCTAACATAATTAAGTATGTTGTGATACTCTTACATTACAAGGCTGTACAAATTAGAATTACGGTTCACCAGCTCATTCGTTGCTATGAATATCGTTATACTTTTTTTTATTCAATCATTATCCATTTTACAAACCTGGTTTGTAAAAACGCGTCATATGACGCACGAAAACCAAGGTTTGTCGACAAACCTCCTTTGTGAATTCGGGCCTTAGACTTTGATCACTTATTGCTTTTTTAGCGTTCCTCATTTTCGTAAATTACCTTTTACAACATTGCATTATTCAGCTATATGTATAAAGAGCTACGGTCAAGGCTTAAGGGCACACTTCCTGTCACATACAAAAGAAGCTTACTCTGAATGTGGCCTGCCATTGACCCTCGCCGGGGACAAAGGCCGTTGCCCTAGCTACAGGCAGAGATCCTTACATAATACCTATTGTTCAGGGGGTTCCCCTTGAACATAGGATCCCCCTGAACAATAGGTATTACATGTACGTAAGTATGTAAGCCACTGGCTACAGAGTGTAGGGAACAGTTGCAAGCCGAGAATGAATAGAATAAGTGAATGGCCAACTGTCTTTGAGTTACGTTTAGCTAGCGGCACAGTGTCCCCCCACTTTTTCAAGTTCCCCCAAAGTGCCCCTTTGTATATAGGAAAAGTACCTATTTTGACTTTGACAAGTGTCCCTATTAATTTGTAAAAGTGCCCCTTCCCCTTTTCAACTCTGATAAGTGCTCCTTTTCTTTTGACACACACCCCTTTTCCTTCGACGAGTTCCTATTTTCCTTTACAATAAGTGTCCATTTTCCATTCTCATTAGTGTCCTTTTAATCTCTAGTAAGTATCCCTCTTTAAGTACGAGAAGTGCCCCTCTTCACTTTTGATAAATGCCCCCATCAACTCCGATAAATGCCCCTATTAAAATCTGATCGGTGCCCCTTTTCTTTCAACTAAAGCTTTTTTTTTTTATCTCTCTCTCTCTCTCTCTCTCTCTCACTCTCTCTCTTTCTTTCAATATCTTTCCATTCCCCCCATATCTTTCTCGCCTCTCTTTCCCTCATTTTGTTCCCCTCTTACCTTATTAATTTGTCTCTTTTCCTCTCCGTTTCATAGCCTTCTCATTTCTGTTAATTTTACTAGGTTTCGCCCTTCTTTTTTTTATCACTCTATTTCACTCTTTCTTTTCTTCCGGTCAACTTTTTAGTTTTCCCTTTTTTCTCTCTTTTTTTTCTGTTTATCTTTATCGTGCCTTTCAACCCTCATTTTCCTTTTATATGTTCCCTTCTCCTCGTAGCTATCTTTTTTCCTTTACTATTTCATCTATCATGTCTTCCTGTTTCTGACGTTTTCCTACCTTGTCTCACGGATTAGTATACGATACATGTTAGTGGAAAGTGCTGAGGTTTATACACGAATATAAAGTACAGTAATTAACTGATGTACACTGAAGGTAAGTTGTGTATAAAGCAATTGGTGTAAGCAGGATAAGATTTAACGATTGCTGCAGCTTGTCGCATCGTTCTACCAATGCCCTTATAACCCTAATAACTATTTACACGATTACACGATTCAGAGCGACATTCTTCAATCGTGTAAGTTTACACGATTACACAGTTACACGATTGTTACATCTGGTCGAATCATCCGACCAATGCACTTAACTATTTACACGATTACACGATTCAGAGCGACATTCTTCAATCGTGTAAATTTACACGATTACACAGTTACACGATTCAGGTGAATCGTGTAAACCGTGTAATCCTAAAAATAAATCGTGTAATCGTGTTGCGGAGATTTTCGGCGTGTACTGTATATACCGAGCCATTTTAATGCAATCAATAATATCTTTCTCTACTATTAATATTTTGTCTCTGTGTTACTATTCTCTCAATCTTGTCTAGATATACATGTACTTACATGTACATCACTAAATACTAAAAATAGAAACCCATTATTTCTCATTTCTGTACTTAATATATTTTTTTCTTAAAACCAACTACATATCAGGTTTCAAGAACTCTTTCAAATTAATTCTGTATGTGACATCTATAGTTCACTTGTGAATAATATGTTCTCATTTAAATATTTATCTGTAGATATTGGTGCAGGTAGTTTGACCCTCTTGTAAAGTCATTGCAGTTCATATATTTCCATGTCTTTTATATCAAGAATGTTGACAAACTGAATTTTGTTATAAGATGAGTCTACAAGATGAGTATAAAGTCATAAAATTGACTATAAACCTGATCAAGAAGCCAAGAGTTGCACGATCGTGGAGGTTGCTATTTGCTTTATTGGGTGATGTCACATCATGCAGTGCTTGCCCAGCCAAACACATGCACAATGCGCGTCTCGATGTCATATGAAATTGATTATACATTGCGTCTTAACTTTGAACTCATCAAGATGCGTTGATCAAGAGTGTTGCATGGAGCTTGCATAGCTGCTGCACAATAATTGTTAGCCAAGTGCGATGGATAATATTAAAGCATAAACATGTGAATGGAATATTGGTTTGCCATAGGCTGCATTCTTGAACCCACCTTATAAACCTAAATAATAAAGTAGTGTGATATCCAATACTTAATTAGAGTAGCACAATACCAGGCTTACTGTCCATTCATTGCCATTGAATGGACGGGTGAGTGTATTCATGTGAAAACCTTCTCATGTTTCTTTTCTGTTATCTTCTTGTACCAAAGATTGAGTTCAGAAATAATATGATCTTCATTGGAAAATTTTGAATGTAGAATACAAGTAAATATTATATTACAGATCAATAACCCTCAGACTAAGATAATTTTTTTGATGGCATTTTTTGTGTGGTTTTCAAAAAAATGAAATTCAAACCAAAGTCCATTTTCATTCTTAATATATGTGGTGTGTCTTAGTAACTGCATACATACATGTATGTCTTTATCCCGTTTACTTTGAAAACAGTTAACACAGAGTTTGCATTTTAAGAAAGTAGTTATGTTTATATTGCACTTTTATGCATCTATTCTGTAATTTTAAAATGGAAACAATCAAAGCTTCAATTTAGGCAAGTCAAACACTAACCTTTTACAAGTACTTGGTCGTATCTGTCCCGCACATCACCAAGACTGATTTTTTTTTTTTTAACAAGATTAGCATAAAAATTTGTCATTTTATTTCTGATTCAAGTCACTTGATACAATCATCAGGTATACCATAATTGATAATATCTGTAATGTATTGAATAAATTATCTTAAACTCGCCCAGGTGTAGAAATCAAATATTTGTCTGTATAACTGCTACACATACTGCTACACATACTGCCAAGAGCACTTACAAGCACTAACCGACCTTGATTCTCCATGCTTGAATCCCAACAGACAAGGCCATTCCTTTGGGTAAGAGAGATATCTTGCTACGGGAAGGACCTGAAGCGTTTGCTAAAGCAGTTCGGAACAACCCTGGTCTCATGCTGACCGACACCACGTACAGGGATGCACATCAGTCGCTGCTTGCAACCCGTGTTAGGACCTATGATCTCAAGAACATCTCACCGTTTGTAGCTCACAACTTCCAGAACTTGTTCAGTTTAGAAAACTGGGGAGGTAATCAATTAATCATTCTTCTCATCTTTCAAGCGTGGCTCAATTTAACTCAATTATGTTTAAAGCGTTTTTTTGTATACATAAAGCAGAGCCATTTTGTTGCAAATTCCTTTGATAAATCCTAAGCCTACTTTCGTTATAAAATATCAAGATAAATTCTTACTTTGTATGAAGATCATGGTCTATTGCAGAGTTTCTTGTAATAACATCAAAATTTGAGACTACAGAACTTATAACAATGTATATAACATTTTATCAAAATCAAAGACAGGAGCATAATGCATAGTATGGCAAATATGCCTAAGGGGATAATATTTCATGTGCTTTCAACAAAGTATGTCGTCTTTCATTGTTGTTGATGGTCCTTATTTATCAAATCGTGTAAATATTTCCAGGAAGGAACTTCATAGATTATTACATTTAAGTGACTTTAAATGAACAACACACCTTGATATTTGTCACTCTGATAATCGATGTGCTTCATGTGCTCTTCTGATAGGTGCTACATTTGATGTTGCTTTGCGCTTCCTGCATGAATGTCCTTGGGAGAGGCTGGAGACGCTTAGAGAAATCATCCCCAATATTCCGTTCCAAATGCTTCTCAGAGGGGCTAACGCTGTGGGATATACTTCATATCCTGATAATGTAGTGTACAAGTAAGCATACATTTTATGTATATTCCAGTATAACCCTAACCTTGAAGCATATTGTATAATATAATTATATGTAATGTCTAATCTGTCACTGAAACATCAGCATGAGCTGAATCATTGAAACATTAGCATAAGCTATTTATAACATACTTTGAGGGGACTTATTAGAAAAACAAACAACTGTTCAACTGTTCAATTAGTCTTACTCACACAACAAATTCATCATATTTTCTAAACTCAGGGGGGGGGGGGGGAGAGGGTTATATTAGTTCAATGCATCAGCTTTTTGTGTTCAATGAAGACTATGGTATTGAAGTTCTTCTGTTTTTTGTTTGCACTGTTACCGGCATTATAGACATTCATTTGCAAGTTGTAATTGACATAGTATGGAACAACCATTGACGCTCGTTACTCTCCTCATGATCTCCTGTTTTGATCAATCCTCTTTTAAGAGTTGAATTAATTTCTTCCAAGTCTTTTTTATTTATCTTTGACTTTCTCAACTACAATACCTTTCAACCTGTTCTTTTCAACGTTTGATACTCACTGTCTTAAGGAACTCTTGTAAGGCTTCTTAAAATTGCTCATAAGAGTGGAATGGATATTTCCCATGTTTTTGACACATCCTTTACAGATTCTAACTGTTTTCCTGATTTCTCGTAAGGTTCTGTGAACAGGCTCATAAGAGTGGAATGGATATCTTCCGTGTGTTTGACTGTCTGAACTACCTGCCGAACCTGATCCTTGGCATGGAAGCCGCAGGAGCATCAGGTGGTGTAGTGGAAGCTGCTATCTCTTACAGTGGAGATGTATCAGATCCATCAAAGACTAAATATACCATGGACTATTATACTGACCTAGCAACAGAGCTTGTGAAAGCAGGTACTCACATCCTGTGCATTAAGGTGAGCATCGGATTATTTCAAACATGTTACCCATTATAGAAGTATTTTTCAGAACTTGCTAGTTTTATTGTTCCACATTCCATCTAACAAATTTGTCTGATACAGAAGATTTGACAAGAAAACACGTGATAAAACAATGATAAACATGTAACATAGAGAAATAATAATGTGAAATATAGGGAACCTACTAAAGGTACTATGTCCCTTTTGCAGCCAACATCAAATTTTGTAGAACTTTGCAGGAATAATGAATATGTCATATCTGTGAAATTTAAACATAAGCAGTGTCCTAGTATTCAAATTATGCAAGAAAACTTTTTTACCTTCTAGACTTCATTGTCAGACACTATTGAGTGATTGACTGACAACCTTTTTTTCTTTGGTTATAACATACATAAAGTGAGCTGTAACAGGTACATGAGCATTTGTCTACATCAATAACCCACTACTTGTAATGGCCAAATTAAACTGATTGAATCTTTGTACAGCACAAAACATACAACCATTTGGTAAAAGGCTCTGAAAATCAGACTATTGCTTAGGTGATTGCAATCACTTAGGTCGATTCGACAACTAATGGTCGTTATTTTCCCACAAAAATCCATTTTCAAGCCCTTAGTATTGTCTTTCAAATGCCATTGGAATTTACCCTTTTCATTAGTTGGGCCTGCAAATGGGACATTGTACCTTTAAGAAGCAAAGCTTGTAAATTGTAGGCTCCCAAATGAAATACAAAATATGTAACTGAATTTGATTGCATTAAAGAAAAACAAAGTTAGAGTCACTGACACAGCATTATGAATAACATGTAAACAAAGAATTAGTAAATAAAGAATATATGCATGTAGCCGTGATTACCCAAAGGAAACAATTTAAGTCTATAACTTGTAAGTCTGATAAAAGAGAGAGAGAGAGAGAGAGAGGAATGAAAAATTGTTTAACAAATGCATTTAAGTAGGAATCTTCGAGATTATGCCTGAGGGAATATAGCGAGGTTGATTCAGTTATTTTTATGTCCAAGCTATTCCAAAATGAGGGACCTGTATAGGTTATTTAAAAAGTGCACTTTGTGAAGTATGGCTTCAACAGACAAATATTTGTTCATGGTTTGATTTTTCTATATTTAATTATGTAAGAAACACTTTTCCATCATATAAGAATATACAATCCATAAGCCCCTGTCAATATTACAAAAGAAAAACATATTTTTCTTTGTCAGCAGGTATTGGAGTAAGATATTGAGAAAATAGGTTGTTCAAACTACGAACAAACAAACCTATGAAGGTTTTTTGGATAAGTATGGACTTCAGAACAAATCATTCGTAAGAAGAAATTCTGTGAGTGCTCTTTTAAAGTTGCTCAAGCATGGGTATATAGAGGGCAGCATATGAACTTATGCAAGGGAGCATAATACCCATTGGTTCAGTGTTATGTAGTGATCGTCAAGTTGCCTACTTCGTGAACGACTATATACCCACGCATGAACATCATTAAGGTAAAGCTAGGTTGAGAACCATGAATGTTTGATTTTAATACATCTTTGAATAGACTTCTAGATACATGGCATGAAATGAAAATGTACTATTATTTTGAATAAATCAAGACTGAGTTTAAAATAAACAGCATCTTAAATGTACAATTGTATTTCACAGGACATGGCTGGTCTACTGAAGCCGAGGGCTGCTACCATTCTTGTGTCTGAGCTACGAGATCGGTTCCCTGACATGCCAATCCACATCCATACTCATGATACCTCTGGTGCGGGCGTGGCTGCCATGTTGGCCGCTGCAGAGGCAGGAGCGGATGTTGTGGATGTGGCGGCAGACTCTGTATCAGGGATGACATCACAACCTAGCATGGGAGCCATTGTAGCAGCATTAGAGAACACCGGCATGGACACGGGTTAGAAAGAAATGCCTTTTATTATTTGCATTGAGTAGAGATATTGGAGGAATAGGATGGAATTCAGTTTTCACACTTGTAAATTGGAACCTGTTACAGGTAATACAAAGTTTTGGTATGGGGTCATGAATTTGGTTCAAATGAATATATTGGAAGCATATGCGATCCTACAATATTCAGTGATCGTTGTCGCGGTTGAAATCGAGTCTAAAGTTATGAAATTGTAAATAATACACTCTTTATGTTGTAAAGCTCCCTCTCAAGGTCGAGATATTAATTAAGCTATAAAACAATGTTTCTTGACTAAAACCGACCAATTAGCTATTCCTGCTTGGAAATGATATATCACAACTAAATATTCTGAGATTTTCATGGTTGCAGCTACCATTGTACGGCCGTAAGCGCCATTTGAAATTTATCAAAATTTACCATGGGGAAAATTTATCTAGGAACTGTAAGATTTCAATGTTATCACTTGTTTGATATTTAATATCTAGGAAACAAATCCTAGCTTAATCTGTTGTAATCATGTAGGCAAGTAATTGTTTATTTACTTTATAACACGTATCAGGTGTGGCGTTGGAAGAGGTCTTCAAATACAGCTCATACTGGGAGGTGACTCGTCAACTCTACGCTCCCTTTGAATGCACAGTCACCATGAAGAGTGGCAATGCTGACATCTATCGTAATGAGATCCCAGGCGGACAGTACACCAATCTTCAGTTTCAGGCTTTCAGTCTTGGTCTAGGAAGTCAGTTTGATGAGGTGAAGAAGGCCTATGTACAAGCCAATCAACTCCTCGGGGACCTGATCAAGGTGAGTAGGTCAGAGGTCAAAATCAAAGAAGGTGGTGTAGATAAGAGACATTGTCCTTGTAAAAGGTCAATGTCCTAGAATCCTCAGTTAAGGTATTGATTCTCAACCGGCTGTAAGATCTTGAACATACTTGTAGGACTAACGGTGTCCCTAGCAGTCTAGTAAAATATTTACCTACAATTGGTGGAGCAATTTTTACCTACAATATGGGGTAGAAATAGCAGTAGTGTAATGAGCAAAAACTTATGGGGGCAGAAAAAATATCTGCATCACCACCAGGTGGCATAATGGGCGAAAGTGAGAAAAAAAACCTGGAAAATCATGTCTTTTCAGCAACATTTGTAAATCACTGATATCAAATTAGAAATAAACCATGTTTTGATTTTTATTGGAGGGGGGGGGGGCAGCTGCCCACACTGCCCCCCCCCCCACCCTCTCTCCCCCTATCAGTATGACAGTGAGATATAGTTAAAGTATTGCCTCTTTATATGGTAAAGCATTAAGGCATCTCTGTATGTAAGATCATGGATATATATGTATATGGATATGTATGTGTTTTATAATAAGGGGAGCCTTCCAAAGTTGCGACTGTGCCCGGACACGTCGGGGCGCGATGAATAGAACAGTCGCGTCTCAAGAGACGCATTGAGGCGCAAAGGGGCGCGAAGGGGCGCCATAGTCACCCTCACCTGATTTTTGCATATGAAAAGAAACTGTCTATTGTTGGTATAAACCCGCTCTATTCTTCTTGTGCCCCTTTGCGCCCTACCAGGCGATGGAAGATTATCTCTCCCGTTATTGTTCTCGCTCGTGATGTGCGGTACAGCTTAAACTTGATATACAGAAAGTATTTGTCGGCCGAAGCCTGTCTTCCCCTCCGGTTCTCGTTCTGATAAACATTCCATTGTTTGTAAAAACTTGATGTATTCTTCTCGCGTCGCGATCTATTCTTCTCGCGCCGTTTTGCGTCGTAACAGGCGGGGTATTATCTTTCCAATCATTGTCGAAGCTTTGCGATGTACATTGCTACAGCACAGCATGAACTTTCTGGTAGGAGCGTATCTGTTTTGGGGGGCAATCAACACACTCGTTCATCTTGATCAGAATAAATTATGATTTATTTTTGTTGGGTTTAATACGCCTCCTTTTAATTTTTGTGACGACTGTATGAAATGTGAAATAAAGATGACTATGTACGATTAATGGCTGTTTAATTGTGAGCTTGATTGTCCCCAACAACAAAAAAATAAAAGACGAATGATGTGAATGAATACATGAATGCGGTTATAGTCGGCAAATTGATTACTGTTTAGGACGCTTGTGTATGTTTGTAATTTGAATGATTATCAACATATTTGTATAATTCCCACAACACGATATTATTCTAGTGTCGTAATAATGGACAAAGGAATTATCTTTCTCTCTCATCATTCATATTCAAGCTACGCGTTGCACATCGTCACAGCCTGAGCTAGGAAGAATTTATATTTTGTCAGTAAAATCCTCTTCTTCTTTTTTCTTTTCCTCCCTTGACTTGGTTCCAATAAATTGAAGGTTTGCTTATTAGGGATAAGAAGGATAACATCAAACAAAAGATCTACTCAAGATGACGCTCTTTTCATTTCATCTAGCTGTTTGATAAAGTAGAGTTCTATGGGGCGAATACAAAAGAAAAGTTCGCTCTAAAGGAAAAAAACATAAAATGCCGTGGCAGGATTTCACGCCCGAGATTTGCCTTCGAAAATTGCCCGTCCAAAAGGCGTTTTAAATCATAATAATTCCATAGCTCTTTTTAAAAGTGGAATAAATAGAAAAAAGAGTCTTGGAACTATATCGAGATTATAAAACATGTGTGTCATGAAGATGTAAAAAAAAAGCGTAGCCTGATGGGGATAAAGTTGAGCAGCAATTCGAAATGCAATACAAAACATTAATCAGTTCATGGTGATAATTTATCATTCGACTTCTACTTTGCGCTATATGTACTAAATGATCGCAAAACGGGCAGGAACACAAATACAAACATCGATTTCTGCTCTAACTTTCGAATCATTTATTCGTAGATTTGTTTAATTAAGTGGCGAAAGTGAAATTTTGAAATCATAATGCACAGATACAAAAACATACCAAACATGTTTCGATTCTTATTCTAAAAAAAAACGGCAAATTTTAAAAGATCTTTTTAAAAGGAGGGAGGCGCTTTAGCCCAGTGGTAGAGCAGAGCAGCTCGTAACCCGGGAGCTCCCTGGTTACAAACCAAGTCGATATGCTAGTGCCCTTTGGTAAGGCATAACTCAACATTACATTTCGTTCGGAGAGGTCCTAAAGCCGCCGGTCCCCTGTTTGCCTAATTCAGAGCATACACAGTCATGCTTCATATAGCAGTCGGGTAAAAAAAAAAAAAAAAAAAAAAAAAAAAGCAAATGGTACAGGAAGCTACCTTTTATGGATAGGCCTAAATTGAAGGTTTGACTTAACTAGGGAGAAGAAGGATAACATCAAACTCATGATGACGCTCTTTTCATTTCACCTCGCTGTAAGATAAAGTAGAGTTCCATGGAGCGAATACAAAAGAAAAGTTAGCTCTAAAGGAAAAAACATAGAATGCCGTGGCAGGATTTCACGCGGCCGAGCAAGGCTATTGTTTGATCGCTATAATTGTCTGACTTGCTATAGATTCTTGTTTAGGTACACATTAAAGCTGCGTATTATGTGTGTGTGTGTGAGGGAGGGGGGGGGGGTGGTTGCGAAGTGAACGGCCGGACAAAAATGGCAGAGGCCCATCAGGAGGGCTCCGCTCGCTAGTTATAAGGACCGCTATTCATTGGACAACTATTCATGAAGACCACTATTCGTAATTTGAGAACATGGTCATTATGTATAAGGGTCATGAATTCGTAATACCACATTCCCCCTCCCCAAAACTAAATAAATAAATAGAAAACATGAATAGATTAATAAACTAAACTAATGATACAATAACAAATATTGCCCGGTAATTGGTAATGGCCGCCTATGAGCGGAACAATGGGCGCAACAACTATTAGCTGCTCAAAGAGCTGTCTTTTGTCATTGCGTTGCAATAACAATGTGCTTGTAAAAGTTACATGTACTGTAATATCCGTATGCTATATAACACCCAATGTGAACATGACGTGTTCAGGCCTTACACAGTGAACGTTAAAACAAAATAATTTACTAGCGCTAGCTAACAAATATGAAACGTCAAAACCTCACGAGCAATTGATGACAACAAATTGTTATACGTCAAATGCCACCACCAATACAGTTTCTTCGCGAAGAAATATTCGATCGAATTTCATGTTTGGAACAGATAAGCGATTTTGAATAGTTCGAGGTGAAAATAACGAACATCGTGTCCGATAAACACTCCTTCTTTCTTCTTAAATCAGTATTCTGTGTTCATTCAAGGTCCCATACGATTTAAACATAATTTACAATGTTGATTTGCAAATAATAATCTCTCTGGGAGTATATCGATTTCCCCAATGATGCAGATATTCCTTTTTTCGTAAAATTAGTTTTATAATTTTTGTAATATCTTTAATTTGCAGATGTTTGTTCATTTCGTATGACATATTTATAAACGCCCTATAATCTAATTTCAAGCAGAATCTTACAATGTCTTTGATTATAAGTTTCATTTTTAAATCACGGTTTTGAAATACAATAGCTGATTTTGCGAAGATTTAGAGAACCTTACGTTTCTATTCTTTAAATCGATCTTGCATGAGAAAGAACAGATTGATGATATAGATATAGGCTATTTTGATCGGATGACAGAACAAAATAATGTAATATGAAACAATAATGAGTCAAAACATACAGAAGGAATATAATTATACATATCGTTTCTGTTTTGTTCGTGAACAAATTAATATAATGCAAGTATTGAACACATTAATAAACAGAAATGAACAATCATGCCAACGTCAATGCCTACAAAACTTCGATGTTGGGAGGGAAATAAACAATCAGTAGCCAAAGTGAAAATTTTAGAGTCAAATCTTTCAAGACGAGAGCGGACACACACGCGGGGATTACATGAATAACTAATGCGTCGGAACGGGCGCGAAAGCTTTTCAAAATTTAAACTCCCATTCACAAATTCACAATTCACAAAAAGTGCTTCGCCGTTAAGCGCACCGCCCCCCCCCCTCCCCACTGAGTGTTATGTAGGGTACGCATATGCATGTTCCTTCCATTTGAAAACAACCCCCTAAGTCCGGTGTGTAAAGTCAATACGGGCCAGACTCTTGTGTACTCGACGAGGCGGACTTTGGTGTGTGAAAAGTACCCCTTTATAACAATGAGTCTCCAAACAATAACCAGATTTGATATTCATATTGTGAGCATGTGCTTAAATAGTCATATCGGGATTATTGAAGATGTGGGCCAATATCGTGTACCTGTGTGCCCAGTATTTCTCCCTGATTGTTCGACAAACATTAAATTGCTATTGTCCAGCTGACTTTTCTATTGGATTTTCTACCCTCGGCGCTAATACAGGGATTGCAGAAAATTTCAACACTATTTGTGTTTCTTGATGACCCAGTAGAAGAAGAATAAGTGCTAGCCCCCCCCCCCCCCCCCCTAAAAAAAATTTAAAAAAAATGGCCCAAAACAACGCAATCATTATGAATTCCGTCTACTACTCGATACGAACACGTGCATGATGGATCTCCTGGATGGATCCTTAATTAGACAGCTAGTGAGACAGTTCTGTTACGAGAAGTAATTCTAACGAATTGCCATGGCTTGTATTTGTTCTAGAACGCACTACGCTCTTTCGATACCACGTGGCAGCACAATATATACGTATTTTAGTTCTTCTCAACAATGACCTAGATCTAAAACTGGCCGCGGCTGTAACCCCCCCCCCCCCCCCTTCTTCGCAAAGAAATATTCGATAAAATTCTTTGGAACAGAATGATAAACTAATTTCTTCTTGAGATATGTTCAAGGTGAAATTTTAAACATTATTTCCTGGTAATGCTCTTATTTTTTAATGCATGCTCTATTCTTACGATTTAGGCATAATTTACTATGTTGATTTGCAATTGATAATCTCCCTGGGAGTTATGCGATATCCCCGATGATACGGGTACAGTGTATTTAATTTTGTTCGTAACATTAGTGTTTTGCAAAGAAAGAAGATTCCGAAAATGAGCGTCTTCATTCTAATGAAACATATTGATGATGTTCCCGACAATACGGATATCATTTGCATTAACAAAAAATCGTAAGACAGATAAACGCTTTTTAAATCCATTTCAAGGAGAAACTACGACGTTCTTGATCAAGTATCATTTTCAACATCACGGATTTAAAAATACATTCTCTAATTTTAAGAAGATTTGAAGGACCTTTGTATTGAAATAACAGACTGATGATATAATTATATGATTTATAATGATCATACGACAGAACTTTTTACAAGATACAAGGAAAATTAAAGAAAACAAAACAAGAAAACCGAAACGCGCGATAACATCGCTAAGTATAAGGAAATATACACAAATTTAATGTAATATGAAACAAATAAAGTGTCAAAACATGCAAGAGGAAAACAATGCCAGAGAGAGTGGGGTAAGAATAAATAAAGTTGTTTTTTCGTAAACAAATCAATTTGTATTAAAATTGATACATGTGTATATTGAACACAATCATGAACAGAACAGGAGGAGATGAAATAATGAACAATCATGCCAACGTTAACGCCTACAGAACTCCGATGTTGAGAGGGAAATAAACAATCAGAACAAACATTGTAACCAATGTCATGTACGTAAAATAATATTAAAACAAATCAGTAGCCAAAGTAATGCTTTTCAGAGTCAAATCGCAAGACGACATGAATAACTAATGCGCCGGACTGGGCGCGAAAGAGCGCGAAAGCTATTCAAAGTTTGAGCTCCCATTCACAAATGTCAAGTGCTTCGCTGGGGCGCGCCCCGGCGGGGTAATTTCGTAACAATGAGACTCCAAACAATAGCCAGATTTTAATGAGCTAGGAACCAACTGGAGTCCTCTCGTATCCGACGCCAAACGCGCAAAAGGGCGCAAAAAGACGCCTCCTTTGTTCTCATATCCTGCTCTGCGCCCCGACGCGTCGCGGCACAGTCGCAACTTTGGAAGGCTCCCCTAACTGATAATGTGTACAAATTTGCTGAAGATCAGTCAGAGCAAAATGACTTGTGATCAATATAAAGATTGTTGAGGCTTGTCGATTATAGCAACATGTAGTGTATTGCATGCAAGGTGGATTTCCTCTGTAAGATGCTATCATGCATAAACATGTCAGTCATTTAGCTATAAGAAAGCAAATCCATTTTTTTTTTCTTTTTGAAAATAGTAAAACCAATCTTTTTGCAATACAATAGTGAATTAAAAGATTTTCTTAGTACAAACCATGCACTCACTAATGTTATATTTTTGCTTCAGGTGACACCATCATCTAAGGTAGTTGGAGACCTTGCTCAGTTCATGGTTCAGAACAAACTCACCCCAGAGCAGATTGAGGAGAAGGCTGATGAACTCTCCTTCCCCAAGTCTGTAGTGGAGTTCCTGCAAGGCCATATTGGACAACCATATGGGGGATTCCCCGAACCTCTCCGGTCAAAGGTAAGAGTTTGATGTGAAGGTTTTAGACTTCATACAGTCTTCATAAGTACTTTGCAATTTCTTTTTGTCAGCAGATACCCCAGATCAGGAAATTATTCAGTTCCTCCTTTCATTTATATGCAGAGTTGCCTTTTCTATGAACGTGTATTTGATATAAATATTCCTTGCAGCTGTGGATTCCATAAACGGTACCTGAGATAGAGCTATGGATATGGGAGGCAGTACATTCATTTTGTTGGAGTATTTTTTATTTTGTGCATATTATCCTTTCATACATTTTCTGTTTTCTAAGTTCATTTTACATACATTCTTGCTTTTTTTAATTAACTTTGAAAAATGCATTGTTTCATATTATTCAACCTTACAATATATAAACCTCTTTGAGGTTTGCATAGAATGACAGCTACATAGAATGACAACCTTTTATTTGGACAAAATTAATATAGGAGATACGGTATACTAATTTGGGCATCTTGAACTGCAAATGTTGGAGTTTGTTGAGATTATAGAAGCATTGTATAAAATTCTCTTTTTTTTATCTCCTCCTAGGTTACAAAAGGACTATCCATTGTTGACGGCAGACCAGGTGAATCTCTAGCACCTCTTGACTTTGATGCTTTGAAGACTGAACTCGTGGCACAGCATGGCAAATGGATACGAGACAGTGACGTCGTTAGCTCAGCCCTCTATCCAAAGGTCTTTGAAGACTTTGCAAACTTTAAGAAGGATTTTGGACCTGTGAACACGCTTGATACCAAGATATTCTTGGTTGGGCCAAACATTGCAGAGGAATTCAATGTAAGGATGTGTGAGATATTAATAGCATTGTCATTATAAGCATCATCATCATCATCATCATTATCATCTTCATCATCATCATCATCATCATCATCATCATCACCATCATCAACCACCTCAACCAACCTCCTCATCATCATCAATCATCATTATTACCATCACATTCAAGTGTCATACTACTAGCATTTCCATTTCATTATCTATACAAACATGAACATCTTTAATCTATTTACATTCCATTATCAGTACAAACGTGAACATCTTTAATCAGTTTACATTCCATTATCAGTACAAACATGAACATCTTTAATCTATTTACATTCCATTATCAGTACGAATATGAACATCTTTTATCTATTTTCATTCCATTAACAATACAAACAGGAACATCTTTAAAGCTAATTTTCAGCTCTGGCATGGAATTCGTATGTCAAGAGAACATGACTATAATTCATTCTGGATTGTTTATCCTGCAGTAGATTAATTGTTTGAACCAGTAAAATAAAAAGAACCTCACAAAAATTTGCTGAAAATCCTCTTCAATAAAAACCATAACTCTCATTTGCACATAGTGACCCATGTATAAGCACATGGTGTCAGGCCTACTTACCTTGATTTCCTCATCCTTCTATACTCAGCCCCTATAAGTTTCTTACCAAAATCGTTTGGCGCAAGTCATTTTTTTGTAATCTTGAACATTCAGTGAAAGTTATGTTGGATTATGTCAGAATATATTTTCTATCATTACCAGAACTCAAGCTTATCTTTAATGTATGTAATAGACTGTTTAATGTTTAATACTAATAGACTAATGATACATATTAATGTAACATAGTTCTCATTTCATTTCATTATGGTTATGATCATGATATAAGTTAGTTAGCATAAAACATTTGTGAGGATAGTATCTCATTCTCGTTCTCGTGTCTATAGGTTGAGATTGAGAAAGGCAAGACGCTTCACATCACACTCCTAGCCATGGGTGACCTCAACAAAAAGACCGGAGAAAGGGAGGTCTTCTTTGAGCTCAATGGTCAACTCAGATCAGTTCTCATCAAAGATAATGCTGCCATGAAGGTAATCAAGACACTATGATCCAACCAATTATTAGAGATCTTAATCAATCTTTTAACCAGTTGAATATGATTGATTTCGGTAAAGTGGCCACTTTCTCTGTTTCCCTTGGGTGGCATCAATATACAAGTTTGACTCTATTTGAATAAGGCACATGTATCGTACTGCTTTGTATTAACAGTGAGCACACATTTGTTGTGAAGATGAGTTAGCTGATGCATTAAAAGAATAATAAGTAACAACATTATTGGAATAACTTTGTTTCACTTGTTATTCAGAGCCATTAAGTTGCCCATCTGGTTTCCAATCATTTCTAGTAATATGAGTGAATTTGTATTTTAAGATATTCTGGCATTCCGAAGCTACTTGTGCTGTTACAGAATACATTTTGAATTGTATTTTTTTTTTTTGTCAACAGTTTCATACTTATGACTATCAAGTCACAAAATATAAGTGTATGTGCAGTGGTATTATTAGTGAAATATAAGAGCTAAACTGTCAACTATTCAATCTCCTCCTTATTTTGACACACAGGAAATGCATGTACATCCAAAAGCCCAGAAGTCAGTGAAGGGTTCTGTAGGTGCCCCCATGCCAGGCGAGGTCATCGATGTCCGTGTCCAGGTCGGTGACAAGGTTGAGAAGGGTGCACCATTGGTTGTCTTGAGTGCCATGAAGATGGAGATGGTGGTCAGTGCACCCATGTCAGGAGTGGTCAAATCTGTATCGGTCAAGAAAGGGTCACCGGTGGAAGGAGCAGACCTTCTAGTGGACATTGAGTAATGACAGACACATGAAATGGATCATAGTGGTCATAGTTTTCTTTCAAATCTCCCAATAGTAATGGTGATTGGTCAAAGTGAACCTTGCTTTGAGAACAGGAAGTGATTGGGCTTGTACAGGAAGTACTTACACCTAACCCAGGATGTTCAGACTATATTAACTGGTATTGGTTAGATTGTGTGGCATTATAAATGATTTACTACTCTGCAGTCTGTTAAACTGCGTTACAGAAAGAGTGTAATGTACTTTGGTTTGTTTTGAACTACATAATAATCATGTTAAAGCTCTTGTAGTTTATATTAAGAGGAAACAATCAAAGCTAAATCATGCACAGTACCATCATCGAACCCAAAATAGCATAATTCTTTATTCATGTTTGATAAACTGAATGTATTTTTTAAGCAGTAGTATCATAGAACAAGAACTCATCATGCCAAATGGATTGTAATAATTGAGTGTTTATTTTGTGCACAATTTTTTCATATGATATCAATGTGTGATGAATAGTAATGTACTTCGGATGTGACAATTAGGGGTCTGAAAAGATTTGTCGGTCGAACAATGTTTTGTCTCTCCTAATTCTAAATGAAAGGATATATTTTACCTTGTTTGCTATCCTGCAAGAAGTTGTCCTTTGTTTCTCATACTAGTGTCTGGGCCAGTTTGTTATGTCATATTGGTTCTCCAACATTTGCTCCGGGCTTTGTTTTGTCACATTCTGGAGGAAACATGAATCAGGAAAATCAATTTTTCTCATACTACAAATTACAAGACTTGATAAGGTAATGATTAATTTAAGTTAAGAAATTGTTTAGTATAGGATATTGAGCACAGAGGAAAGGTCATCAGAGCATACTTGTATGTTGTACCATTACACTTTAAATACATGGTCCAGGTTTATTATCTCAAGCATGACATTCATTTGCATTACATTCAGTTCTTCAGGGCAAGTATTTGTGCATGTTCCATTCCATTTGATTACAGTGTTGATGATTAGTTGTAGGTGTATCATCTGTGCTTAATGCACAATAACATTCTTTCCATAAACGATTTGGTGTTGGGTGTATAAATATATGTCAATCCTAATATTTGTATACTTCTTGAATGCAGTCAATGTCAATGCATTGTATCTTTTCATTGATGGTCATTGTTCATTTTAGGTGTAACTGATTTGTTGTGTAACAAACACATAGTTACAATCTTACATTGCAGGGTTAGGTGTGGGCTTGTCCAACCCAACACTCAATTCAACAAATATGTGTAATGAAAGTACATATCGATATCAGGGTTTTCTTTATCATGAAAGATAAAATTGTGATTGAATCAATGTAATTGAAGTACTAGATATATTGTGTTATCCTTTGATGTTAGTGTAAGATGGAAACCTTGGCTTAAGCTGGGTATTTACGCTCGTTTAAACAGTCAATGAAGAATTGACCTTTTACCTGTCTTATTGTCATTAGCCCTATATGTTGTTAAATCATATAGATGCCTAAGCTATTTGTACTTTATAATCCATGCATGCTTATCTTTTACAGATTGAAAAACATTAGTATTGTGTGTATGTATCAATAACATTGTATGTAGACAGGTCCAAGCTATTTTGTCCCATATGTTACTGGGCATGTCAAAGAGTTCAGTACACCTGTAAATATGATCATTGTATTCATGGCTTCTAAGGTTTCGATCAGACCAGATCGGAATTGAAATAACATATTTGATGCCACTTTATCGTCAGAATTACACACTATTTGAAAACTTATGGGAGATGAAATCAAATGCCTTGGACTTGGCCATTTATAGTACATGCTCTACTTGCATACATTGAAACAGATGTTGCTATGTCAGGCATGCAATGGGCAGTCATACATGAGAGCTACCCAAGTAATCAATGTGTGCAACATCCATGCATTTCACTTATTGTAAAAAAAGTACCCATTGTATTGCTTATGGAATGCAGAAACGTTTAGAAAAGATGTTATGCAATATGTAAGGTTTGTAGGTTGTTGATATCTTATTTGTTTGGTGGAATTGTGTGATGATTTGAATTTATTATCAGTATTGATTTGGTATGAACCTCGTTGCATTGATAAGTTGTGGGGGCTCTTTGTGTTGTGCATTGTGGGCACTTTATGAAACTACTTTTTTTTTTGTGAACCTTTTTTTACCTTCCATGAAAAACTGTAGTACCATTTATGTGAGATGAGAATAGTTTAAAAAGTAATCCTTGGATTTTAATAATAATAATAATAGCTAGTTCTTATATAGCGCTTTTCAGGACCGAAGGCCCTCTCAAAGCGCTTTACAGATAGTTATATTATTGCCCCGGTCATAGGATTCAGGCTTACCCGCACACAATGTATGCACATTCTCCACTCCCTGGGGAGCATTCTAGCCAGGCGTCTTTGTTTTGTATTGTTTCATTGCATTAACCATAGTAATAGCAGTTATGTACCTTCATAGCAATATATAGTGGTACATGGTACTACCATTTGCCATTTAACATCAATTATGTGGACCTACATTGGTCTTGTGTTTAAAGGTATTACAAAGTTTTGGGAAATTTTGAAAATTGGCTGGATAGTCATTCTTTACAACATTGATATATTTGGATGCCCCTGTGGATGTATTGTAAGCGCTAGAAAATTTAGCCCCTAAAACACTTCTGGTTTTGAAAAAAAATGGATTAAAAAAAATTTACTGATGCTCCGGGTAAATCTTGATGAATCTAAAATAGCGCCTACGGCCATACAATTTAAACAGTTTATTATTTACAATTTCATCACTTTAGACTCGATTTCAACCACAACAACGATCACCGAATTATTGTAGGATCGCATATGCTTCCAATATGTTCATTTGAACCAAATTCATGACCCCATACCAAAACTTTGTATTACCTTTAATATTGATATTTAGCCATGAGGTATACAGTGCAGGTTGCATCATGTTTTAATGAGGGCTTGATGCGCACAAATTCAACTATTTATCTTTATTTTGATAACTGGATTATGGTGCTCAATCTATTGTGACTTACAAATCATTAACAAATCTACTGATGTACATTTATCTAAAGGAAGGCAGTGGCAATGTGTGCTTACTTCAGTATTACTCCAAGATTGTTGTTATAATTATGAATCATTGAAATTGGTGTGTGACTACATATTATGTAGGAAGGGAAATACTTTGATATTGATTGTAATATTATTTTTCAGGATTTTCTATCTTTATTCTTAAATTAGATAACTGTCATTTGTTCCGACATTCTTGTAATTTCAAACTAATCAAATAGTTACATGTGTGTGTTCATGATAACCTTGGAAATGCATTCTGAATGAAATGTTGAAGATATCAAACTAATCTGTGAGACAGCTGTGGGCTATTGATACAAACCATAATACTTTCTTGGACAACCAGCTGAAATGTTTGCTAATCATTAATACACATTTCAATTGGATGTCAATGTATGACAGTCCCTTTCAACAGGACACTGATTATTTTACTTTGCTAAGTCTCTCTAGGTTTTTTGACATCTCTCTCATTTCAATATTTTTTATAATTTTTGTACAATTTTGTAGGTAGTCAGTTGGCTGAAGAGGTTCTAGTTGAATGTAGTACTATTTCATTTGAAATATTTTCCCTTACTTGGACTGAACTGTACTCCATGATTATTCTTGTGGGATGTAGTTTGCCATTCTAGATTTTACTTATGATAACAATATTTGCAATATATTTTAACGTTGTCAATTCAAATTCAGAGAATAAATAAGCATTTTTAGTTTTCAATTTGAATGATTTAATATAGCATGGAAGTATATTAAAAGAAGACACAAGCTCCAGAGATATATTGCATAGCTAATAGAATTTTTTTTGTGTAAGACCTGTAAGGTGTAAGGTTGTGTGGTAGGTTTGAATAGCATTGATATATTAAATGAGGTGGATATATTTATGATTGAGCATTATTTACTAGTAGAGCAGCCTATAATGAGTAATAAATGGATATATTGTTTTTAGGGATACTGCGAAAACAAAGAAGTAAACAATATTAATTATATATGAGAGTATTCTATCAAAATGTACCAGTATTATGTCTTATGAGATAATGAATTATGTCTTTTCCAGATGAACAGTACCTACAGTTGAAGGATATTTCCAAGGGGTTTATTTAAAAGAAGGGATTTTGACAGTATAACATACTATTTTATCCAACTGCATTGAGGGATTTCAAGTTTGGTGTTGAAAGCTGGTGTTGGTGTTGTGCACCAACACCAGCCACAACACCGAACTTGAAATCAGGCTGGTGTCGGGATTGACCTTGGGAAATATGACGTATTTTCTGTAGTCTGTGTTGAGGGCTGGTGTTGAATGTCGCTGCTGAACCGAGTAGGGAGGTTGGTGTTGACGATTTACGTGTTATTTTCCCATTCACCAACACCAGCCCCTTGGGATTAAAAAATTCATGATTTCGAGTTTGGTGTTGGTGTTGGCATTGCAGTATACCGCAGGTAACTATGCATGCATCTGTCACAAATCTCATGATCAAGCCAAGGTAAAATCAATTTTCAAGTCAAAACAACTAAATCATGGGAACTATATCTGTTTTTCAAGAGAAATTATGTTTTCTCTATTCATTTTTAATATGACTTAACATTTGATATTCAATATGATGTAATTTATTGGAATTTCTGAGTTTTCGGCTGTAGAGTAGGATGTCACTCGGTGTTGAGGCTGGTATCGTCCTTCTAAACTGAGCTTCGGTGTTGGAGCTCGGTTCAGCAGCCTTTCCACGCTCTCAACACCAACACCAACACCAAACACCGTACTTGAACTCTCTTACTGTTTTACTAATGGAGATTCAGATTTTGGGCCTTAGGCTGTAGGGGCCATCTTCCCTGAAATATGAGAACATGCTTATTCTCGTGATCACATATATGCATTGAGAGGTATATTGAACAATACAACAGTATTTCATTGATCAATTCATTGGTATTGTTTTGAGAAAGATAAAGAAAATATCCTGTTCAATCAACTTTGTATGTTCAGTGTTTGTGATGCCTATTTGACACATTATCACCATAAATTATTTTCTGTGGATAAAATTTGCCAAATGTTTTGGTATATGTTATGTCTTCCCAGCTGAAAATGTTCCTTTAAATATTGTATATTATTACCCGTATCAGACATCTGAGCTGGTCATTTACAAAACCGTATTGCCCTAGTTTTCACTAGCAGTGGGAACGGAGGGGTATATTCTTTGTATTTTCCTTGGTCTCCCTGCGCGTATTGACTTTGCGTGTAGAGACGAGTGAAAATATACCTTGGTATTTTCCACGGTCTCGCATCCCGGCATCTTGTAATGACCGCGTCGCATTTTCATTGCGCATCTATTATGCGTACGAGAACCTGCGCACTTTGCGCGCACTCTATTGTGACGTAATAATCACACCAAATACACACTGTTTGCAGTGTATCGAAAATTTTGTCAAGCACTGGATGCACAGTGTTGGTTTGACAAAGTTTCTTCAGTTCTTGAGATTGTCATGGTGGATGTCTGTATTTGCTCTAGATGTCTGATTTGGATAACAATAAAAATATTGACTGGCTTTACTTTCGGGGGATATCAGAAATATTGACCGCGCTAAGACCATATTGCCCTCGTCTTTCGACTCGGGGCAATATGATCTGAGCTTGGTCAATATTTCTGATATACCCCTCAAGGCCAGTCAATATTATATAATTATTCAACCTCTGTAGGTAATGGAATATACATGTGGACTTAAATGTAAGACTGTCAGTACTCCGGGGGGGGGGGGGGGGGGGGGGGGGGGGGGGGGGGTAAGTTTTCCAAACGATCATACAATATTGTAAATAGGTTACAATATCAACTTATGATTGCAAAATGGATGAAAGTCAGAAGTATTTATTTCCAAAGTAAAAAAACTCAAGCAACTCAAATTGATGGTAAAGAGAGTTGGAATGTTTCCCCCTCCCCAAAAATAATATTACATGGGTTCATGTTGCCCCTGTACTTCATATACAGAGGTAATAATATTACATGGGTTGATGTTGCCCCTGTACTTCATATACAGAGGTAATTAGCACTCCCACTCCATAAATGAAAAAATACATGTACTAGATTATGTTCAAATTAAAAATGAGATTTGATGTATGTATATTTTGAGTAACGCTATTTACTATGTCGTAGATATGTTCTTGGAATTGTAATGTTCTATCGTTAACCATTTGCCAAGTATAATATGACTATTTCAAATGGAGTGACTATTACTATAACTATTACAGTATTGCAAGCATAATGTTGCTGCAATGTTAAACATGTGATGGAGTGACTACAGTGTGATATAATGTTGCTATGGTAAACGTATGATGGAGTAACTATTACAGTATGGTAAGCATAATGTTGCTATGTTAAAAATCTGTCGGAGATTATTTGACAGTATATTTTTGTTGGTGATATTCTTGTGAGCAATAAATGAATTGAATATTTCAGCGATTTGACATTGCCCTTTTGTATTATTTGTACATGAATACAGTACAACTAAATTCTCTATTTTCTTGATAACATTCATTAAAAATTGCAGTTAGTATGAAGCTTGAATGTTAATAAAGATGATGAAAATCATGAAACTCTTGACATCAAACAGTTAAAGTCAAATGACAAATGCCCCTTTTTAAAACTATCAATATTTTTCAACTTAGCATTTCAATTTCAATTCAATTCAATTCACTTCAATTTCGGTTTTATTACAAATATACCAAATAAAAAGTCCAAAGACTAACAATAATTGGCTTACAATGTATCATATAAAAATGCATTAAAAACAGTAGATTTAAAAATTCAGTAATAAGTTAAAAAGTACATTGCTCTCATTGTATTATATAAAAATGCATTAAAAACAGTTGAATTAAAAATTCAGTAATAACTTAAAGTATGAAGAAAAAGAAAAAAAAAATTGTAAGTTACAAAATGGTGATAATCAGTTTGTCAGTGAATTGAGAAGAAAGAAGAAATAAAGAGTGAAAAGTGGAAGAGAGGGAGAGGGAAAGGATAATGAGAAAAAAGAGAGTTCAATTCATGACAACAACAAAAAGTAAGCAGATAAACGAGAATTGAGTTGATTCAGCTTAATGAAGCATTGTAAAAGTAAAATGCACATAATACGGAAATGTCAATGATACATTAATACGAATGCCATTATGGAATTGTTATTATACTGTTTAAAATTGGTGAATGTCAATGACGTATACATATTGGTGAACATTATTAATGAGTAATTATCACATCGTCAGAAAATTGAAAAGAGGAAATACAAGACAGAAATAGAGAAACAGTGGGAGAGGGGAGGAGGGAAAGGAGAAGGAGAGAGAAAGAGCTAGAGAAAGGGAGGAAGAGAGAGAGAGAGAGAGAGAGACGGAGAGAGGGAGAGGGTTCGAAAAATGACAAATACATAAAAAAAGATCTAACAAAATTTCAGTTGACTGAATTTAGCAAACGAACAAGAGAGGGAACTGTCGATTGTTTGTAGCGCTGGGTTCTGCAACGTGGTAGGGACAAATGATCGGAGTTTCTTAAACTGCGGCAAGTAGTCATATGGCGCGGTTGTGGCAGGAGATGGCGGTGTCTTAGAGAACCCAGAAGTGATTTCGCAAATCGCGTGAGGATCTCAACACGTCGGCTATCAAGAGATGAAATGTCAAATTGGTGAAGAAGGCAGGCGCGGATCCAGGATTTCTTAGGGGGAGGCCCAAATTTGAAATTATGCGAGCCAAATATTGGTACGTAATGGTGACCAGCAGTGACGTAATGGGGGGGGGGTGGGTGCAGGGAGGGGCGAGATTTTGCCCTACCTCCTCCGCGAAGCACGGAAGCTTCGACATTTCAATAAATTATTAAAGAAAGAAGGCGATTCGTTGTACCGTTCCCCCCAAATAACCCTCGTCTGAATAATGCCCCCCCCCTCCCGTGCGAAGCGCGAAAGCTTTTACCTTTCATTAAATCATTAGAGAAAGAAGACGATTCGTTGTGTCGTTATCGTCTCTTAATCTCCGTCTAACTTCAGTTTCCCCCCTCCCGCGCGAAGCGCGGAAGCTTTTACGTTTCATTAAATCATTAGAGAAAGAAGACGATTCGGTGTACCGTTCTCGACTCTTAATCCTTGTCTAAATTCAATTCCCTCCCCTCCCACGCGAAGCGCGAAAGCTTCCACGTCTCATTAAATTATTAGAGAAAGAAGACGATTCATTGTAGGGCTCACGAAAATAATCCCGTCTGAATTTATCCCCCCCCCCCCCGCGCAAAGCGCGGAAGCTTTTACGTTTTATTAAAACATTAACGAAAGAAGACGATTCGTTGTACCGTTATGATTTTAAATCCTCGTCTAAATTCAGTTTCCCCCTCCCGCGCGAAACTTTTACGTTTTAATAAATTATTAGAGAAAGAAGACAATTCGTTGTACCGTTATGACTTTTAATCCTCGTCGAAACTCAGTTCCTCCCCCCACCTCCTGCGTGAAGCGCGGAAGCTTTGACGTTTTATTAAATTATTAGAGAAAGAAGACGATTCATTGTACCGTTCTCGACTCTTAATTCTGTCTGAATTTCAAAAATGTTCTTTGTCTACTCCCTTTTCTTCCTAGGTCCTCTTCCTTTTCACTCCTCTCTTTTTTGGGGGGACCACCTCACCCCCCCCCCCCCCCGGCTACGCGGCTGCGGTCAGATGAACATATGTTGATACCTTGTCCGCCCTCGGAAGCTCAGGGGTTTAAGGCAATAATTTACGGTAATATTAGCATTCAGGGGTCCACCTCAGGGCCCTAGGTGGGGTCCAGGGGGCAGAGGCCCGGAAGTTTAGGAATTTTAGGTATTTAATTACGGTCAGATGACCATTATTTTGATACCTAATTGTGACACTGGCAGGTCACTAATTGGCGTGGGGTTCAGGGGGCAGAGCCCCCGGAAGCTCAAGGGTTTTAGGCACTCAATTACGGTCAGATGAGTATCAAGGGGCCGTCTTAGGGCTCTTGGTTGGGTCCAGGGGCAAAGCCCCCGGAAGCTCACGGGTTTTAGGCGTTTAATCACAGTCAGATGAGCATTTTTTGATACCTTATTATTTTGTGACACTGGCAGGACAATATTTGTCGTGGGGTCCAGGGGGCAGAGCCCCGAGAAATCAGGGGTTTTAGGCATTAAATTACCGTCAGATGAGCATCTAAGGGCCCGCCTTAGGGCCCTATGTGGAATCCAGGGGGCAGAGCCCTCGGGGTTTTAGGTATTTAATCATGGTCAGATGAGCATATTTTGATACCTCATTATAATGTGACACTGGCAGTTAATTATTTTTTTCTTTCTTGCTCTCTTTCTTTCTATTTCTCTTATATGTTTTTCAAAAAAGTGGGGAGGGGGGCCTCGAGGATCCCGATCCCCGCCGTTCCGCGGGCCCTGACATGTAGGCATCTCAAGAAGCATTTTCTTGCCTGACTGTAAATTTAGGAATTTTCCAACAAACGCATAAAAAAGTATAATTACTTAAAAGTGAGGAAAAATCTCGGAAAATTATGTCATTTCAGCATTATTTGTAAACCACCGTTATGGAATTAGAAATAAACCACGTTTGAATTTTATTTCCCCAAAGCCCCCCCCCCCCCCCGATCTACACCTTGTTGGCGGGAAAATTGCAACTGATATCCCTTACCTTTCTTCATTCTCTTTTGTTTTCTTCTTTCCCTTTCTCTCCTCTTTCCCTTTCCCTTCTCTTCCTTCTCTCTCTCTCTCTTTTAGGTTTGTTGGGGGGGGGGGAAGGTAATTTTGACCTCCCACCCTGCTCCACACATTGTTGGCGGGATTAACCGCAACTGATCTCCCCTTCTTTTCTCCCTTTTCTTTTCTTCTTCCTCTTTTTTGTTCCCTTTTAGCTCTCCTCTTTTCCTTTTCATTCCTTCTCTTTTTTTTAGCGGGGACGGGGGGGGGGGGGGGAGAGCAAGGGCCTTTTGCCCCCCCCCCCGATCCACAACTTGTTGGCGGAAAATTGCAACTGATATCCCCCTTCTTTTCTTTTCTTCTTCCTCTTTTTTCCTTCCCTTTATCTCCTTTTTTCCTTTTTTCTTTCCCTTTCCTTCCTTCTCTTTTATGTTTTGATGGGGGGGGGGGGGGGGGAGGCAACAGCTTGGGAGGCAAGTCCTTTCCCCCCCCCCCGTTCTCCCTCTTCCCTCTTTTTTTCCCTTTCTCTCCTCTTTCCTTTTCCCTTCTTTTCCTTCTCTCTCTCTCTCCTTTTTTTTTCTTTTTTTTTTGGCGGGGGGGGGGGCAAGGCCCGCTCGGCCCCCCTGGATCCGCGCCTGGAAGAAGGTCATCATAGTGAGAGTCAGTCGGGTAAAAAATCATGTGAAGAGCTCTCTTCTGTACTCGTTCAATTTCAGCAGACTGGCGCAGGGTTAAACTTGTTCCCCAAACAGGTACTGCATACTATAGTATTGGTCGTATGTACACAGAGTATATGAACACGAGATCCTCCGGTTTGACACCAAACTTCTTGAGTTTACATAGAATGAAGAGGCCAACCATGCGTTTCACCTGCTCTTTCCATTTAAGATCATCCTGAACGATAACACCAAGAAGTTTAAAAGATGAGCAGGATTGCAAGGGTACATCACGAATGGACAAATGAACAGGGAGAGGAGCATGACGAACAAAAGACACTTGCAACACTTGACACTTTTCCGGTTTAGGAGCCATATCGTTGTCATCACACCAGCGACTTAAGGAATCGAGATTCGACTGCATTTCTGACGGCCGCGAGTGATGAACAACTTCCACAAGTGACAAATCATCGACATACTTCCAGTAGTCACAATTTTCAGCAGCATCGTTGATCATAACAAGGAATGTGATAGGGCCAAGTTTCGTCCCTTGTGGAACACCGCAAGAGAGCTGTCGAGATTCAGACGATACACCCTTGAAGCGAACAGACTGCGTTCTCCGCGAAAGAAAACTGCAGATGGTTGGCAGAATGGACCTATCAACACCGAGATTGATCATTTTCTTGATGGCAATAGTGTGATTGATCTTGTCGAAAGCTTTACAAAAGTCGATGGCACAGACATTGGTGACAAAGCCTGGCCGGTCAAGGCCTTTGTGAATATGATCAAGCATTCCAACAAGGTAGTGATCGACCGAAGAACCCTTCATGTTTCCAAATTGGTGAGAATCCACAAAGGGCTTAATGTCCTCCATAATACCCAGTCAGCAAGAAATCCCTCGAAGAGGCGAGCCAGAATGGGTGTGATGGATATTGGTCGCAATTGGTCATATCCGGTAACACGACTGCCCTTTGGAATAGGACAGACAGAAGAATCTTTCCAGGCATCAGGAAAGCATCAAGATCTCAGACATAAGTTGAAAAGAATGTAAGGGGTTCTGAAATCTCATAAGCGAACTCCTTAATCAACCGAGGCGGTAGATCCCTAGGATGACATGCCTTCGACACATTCAACCGACGAAGCCGCTCAAATACCTGCCGACGGTCGATGATTGGCGGGCAAGAAGCGGCTGGCAGATAAGCAGGAAGTTGATGTGTGTTCAAAGGAGGGAGTGTAGTGCAGATCTGGGCGAAATGTTGATTCAGTTCGTTGGCAATTTTTACAGTAGATTTCTCGTCTTCAGGGAGACGCAGTGATTGCTTACGAAGGCCAGCCATGTGTCGAATTTGCTGATGCCATTTGCCTGGTTCAGCGTTTCTTTCTTTTCCGTTCGTAGAAAGACTCAATTGGCAACTTTGATCTCCCTTTGCACGGCGTTACGTAATCGTTTATAGGAGACGCAGTTAGTCTTGAACGCTTTGTCACGTCGCAAAATTAATCTGCGGAGATTGTTCGTAATCCAAGTTTTGTCGCTTGGACGACGCTTAGTCGTGACAAGTTCAAAGAAAAGTTCATGTTGACAGGTCAGTAGTCGTTGCAATTGCTCAGCCATCGAATTAGCATCAGCACAATCGGTGACGCAAGACCAATCAGTCCGAGTTATCATTTAAGAAAAATTCTACATTGTCATCCTGACAATGAACAGAAAAAGTTGTCTGAATGCATTCAAGAACATTATGTTGATCTATAGGCTATTTGTCTATGAACCCTCTGATAACTTTAGAGAGTTTGTAAGACTAGCCCTAATGTAACACCATCCATGTGCATGTTCATAACCTTTTAATGTATTGAAGTAAGTTTATATGAATACACAGTCCCAATGATTTGATAGGAGTTTGGCACGCTATAATGGTGGATACTGCCTTCTTCGGCAGGCACTGTCACTAAATATGTGACCAACTGAAACCAAGTTGTCCATACTCTGTGTATAGTTGGCTCTGCAAATACAAAATGACAATGGGGCATCTGACGTTAGCAAGGAAAAGAACATTGCTTCATAAGCACACTTAGGAAAAAGTTGTTTTTTAGATATGATATCAAGATTTATCATACTGAATGAATCTAGATTGAAAGCACCTACCCAAAACACACAAACACACATCAATAAGAACGATTGAAACGTGAGATTATTTGTAATAATTTATTGAGAGTCACATAAGGATGAAGTACTTATATGATTTTTATAGTTACAATTTCTTATCTAGTTCACTTGCATCTTAAACACAATGCAAGAGTCTTAAGTCTTCAGTTTACTCATGTATATTTGATAGTTTTCATGAGTATACATTTCATAATTTGTTTTCCTAATTTCAGTTATTTCCTATTTCAATCATTTTTAAGTCGTTTTGATTGACTGATTGTGATATTCTACCACAATGTAGGTTATGTGTAATTTGCAGTATGCACATTTTACGATAGAGACATCATATCTTGTTTCAGTGCATGATGATAATATTCCATACTTGTGTCTACCATTACAGTAAACGTTCATCCTATCTAATGATTGTTTTGGCAAAGATCGCTCTTCGAAAAAAATTACATAAACTTAATACAATGCCCTGTATTTCGATACAGCAATAAATATATGATCAATTTGAATATATCACTGATGTGACATACCAAACAAATACATATTTGTAGTATACATAGACATTCATATTTCAGGTAAATTTTATAATAATTTTTTTTTGTTGTTAAATATATATATATATATATAATTTGTGTTTTTTCTAAGCATTGAAATGATAATCTTAGTTGAAGGTTTGTTTATGATCCAAAAGTATCCGGTTGTTTTTAAGTTTATCTTAGTTGAATCGATCTGTTTATTCCTCGTCAGCCTTAGCAGGCTTGTGCTTAGGCTTGAGCTTTCTAGCACGCTTGAGGAACTTTCTCAGGCGCTTCTTCTTGGTCTTGGGATCCATAGCCTAAAGTCAGGGAGAGAGAGAGGGAGAAGGGGAGAAAGAAATGAAGATGGAATTTAACAAAAAAAGGATTGTTGGAAAAAATGATGAAAGAACCATAATATAATGAAGGAAAGAAGACAATGATAAAAGGTAGTTAAAGATTGAATGATAAAAATTGAAGGCGAAGATATTCACCTTTACGTTTTATCTGTCTGGCATGATAACCTCAACATTGTTATCGATTATTACAATGTGTGTATATACCTTTGAAATGTTCAAACATTTGTAATTTGTGATTTATGTTAGGATCTCAGCCATGAAGGTAATTATTAATATTTTTTACATGAACGTGGTAAATTCCCATGGTAAACGTACAGTTTTTTTTAACCGTTGCAAAAGCGGTCCAATAGCGATCAGTATCGTTAGTCTTGTATTTTTGTTTCTGAAACAAACTAGCTCTTTCTGTAATGATTCAGCCACAAAATCATGTGAAGAAAAAAAGTAACTTCAAAATAACAATTTGAAGAAAAAAACATTTACTGAAAAATAGTAAGGATGAAATAACACTGTCAGATAGAGCAGGTTTACCTTTTGAGGCTCATCAGGAGCAGTGGTATCATGGTTCAATGCCGGGTTGGTCGGTTTGGAGAACCTCCTAGATGATGGCTCCTTCTGGGTCTTGCTAGCACGCTATAGAAGTAAGGCAAGAATAATATCAATTAAATAAATATATTCAAGAATCTTAAAATCTGCAAATGCATCCAAACACGATGCATAGTCCTACGTTTTCAAAATAATCAATGTCAAAGAAATAACATATAATTTCTTAATTATTTATTATTAGTAGATAGATAGATAGAGCAGGCTTACCTTTTGAGGCTCATCAGGAGCAGTGGTATCAGGGTTCAATGCCGGGTTGGTCGGTTTGGAGAACCTCCTAGATGATGGTTCCTTCTGGGTCTTTCTAGCACGCTATAGAAGTATGGCAAGAAGAATATCAATTAAAATCAATTAAACAATCTTGAAATCTGCAAATGCATTTATACACGTTGCATAGGCCTACGTTTTCAAAATAATCAATGTCAAAGAAATAAAATATCATGTCTCAATTATTCATTTAATATTAGAAGATAGATAGATAGAGCAGGCTTACCTTTTGAGGCTCATCAGGAGCAGTGGTATCAGGGTTCAATGCCGGGTTGGTCGGTTTGGAGAACCTCCTAGATGATGGCTCTTTCTGGGTCTTTCTAGCACGCTATAGAAGTATGGCAAGAAGAATATCAATTAAATGAATATATTCAAGAATCTTGAAATCTGTTAATGCATCCGAACACGTCACATAGGCCTACGTTTTCAAAATAATCAATGTCAAAGAATTAAAATATTATGTCTTAATTATATTTTATTAGAAGAGAGTATATAGAATATAAAAGTAGGTATTCCATTTCCACAATTCAGCCATGGAACAATGATAAGTATTTTAAAAACATTTGGTAGAAATTCACCTTTGCAAAGTCCCCTCCATCAGTGGCAGGTAGCCAATCCTCGTCTTCAGATCTTGGACCAATGGTCTGGTCAGTTGGAGCAGTTGGTGGTCCATGTGATCCTAGAACCTGGAGGTTTTGGGGGAGTTGTGCATCAGATCCAGACCCCTTGTTACCCTTGGTTTGCAAAGGCTCGTCATGGTCGGATGGTTTGGCCAGACCCTCGCTCTTGAAGTCCTGGGTAGGAAACCGGGATTCCCCAATGGTCTTGGTCTCGAACGGATCATCAGCCGGTCGAACGTTGATGACTCGAACGTTCGGAGTGCCGGTGTTCATGCTTTTGTGGTCAGGCACCGCTGCATCAGATCCTGATGCCCCAGTGGTCTTCATCTTCAAATACGGATCATTAGCTGGTTGAATGTTAATGAGTCGCACTTTTGGGATACCATGATTCAGGCATTTGCGATCATGCACCACTATATCTGATCCAGATTCCCCAGCGGCCTTGATTTGCATATAAGAATCATCAGCTGGTCGGACAGTTATTTGCCCCAGATTCCCGAAGCCCTTGCTTTCAGGTATCATAGCATCAGATCCGACAGACGAAGCGGACTTGGCCAGCAGAAAAGCAGGTTCGGGTCTTTCGATGCTCTTGATCAGAGACGGCTCACTAGATTCGCTCGATGGTGTGATCGATGGCAGGAAGCTGTAACCATTCGGTCGTTCCTATAACAAGAATGAAAAAGTTGTAGATTTTATTAGGCAATGTTCAAGTCATTAATCTCTCTCCTTTCTCTCACATTGTCACATCGATTTTTAGTAGGCTAGCTAAGAATCACACGAATGTGTTGAAGGTATACAGAAGTTTAATTTAAATTATGAATTTCAAAGCAAGAACAGCAAAAGAGAATATAAAGCTAAAGTATTTAATCAAAAAATAATTATCTTATATATAAGTACTCAAGAAACATGAAATAAATAGATTTTGCTTCATTTGAAATATAATATTAGATTTATATTAAAGGACCTGGTGCACAGGGTTAGTCTTCTTCTGCTTATGATCTGTCACATCCGTATCAGAGACCTTAGGGGAAGTCGGGACGTCCTTATGTAATGAAATTAAATACATAAAATATTATTGCATTAATCAATGTACAGACATTTATACAGGAAAGGATTGTTGTTGTGGTTTCAGTTTTATTTCGACAAATCTAGTCATATCTGTTTACTTACAAACAATTTGTATCATGATTTAAAAGAACACAGATAAAATTCAAAGTATGATAAGCGATTCCATTATTTAAATTCCGATTTTTTTTCAGTAATGCTATTCATACATCCTGAAAGTACATACCGGTTGTTTCTGCACAGAGAAGATGGACAAACCTCCCTTTGGATCAGCAACCTTTAGAAGATAAAGAACGCAGGATTCCGAAGGAGCGAGAAAAAAGATGCAAACATTAGTAAAGTACTCTTAGAATGTCTGCTAGCATTAAAACCTCTCTAACACCATTACTACTTCGTTGTTTATTGATTCGCTTAACCAGTATTGAAACCATGATATTGAAAAAATCGATTTGATTGAAAATAAGATGAGGTGCAAGTCGAGAGTGTGAAGTTTGAAACAACATCATTATCAGTACCAGAATTGTAATTGGCTGTAATGTCATGTGATGCACTCTTTGGAGAATGATGGAACATATTATTACAAAATTAAAACTTTTTAAATCTTAAGAAAATCCAGATCTTTTTCTCAATGTGTACATCTAGAAGATAGAATGTTAGTTAAGAGGCGAAGAAACTTTTAATAAATGTCTGGTTATAAACTGTACATAATCCCTGAATTAGTACAGGCCAATTGAGCTATAATATATTTTCTTTTCATCTGTCCTTTAAAACCATAAAACCATTATTTTAAAGATAGCAATGTTTCTTTGCCCTTAAAGCCAGAGCACTAAAACAAGTGTTATCAAATCGTCGAGTTTTTCACTGAACACCATTAGGATTATGTTTATTATGAATAGATAATTATACAGTACTAAATTTTACAAACGGATATCTTTAAAGATAATTGCAAAGTTATACCTTTTCGCCGGAGTAACATTTCTCCATTTGTTCTGGTATGGAATCAGGACACTTTGGAGAAGTCACAGCGTCCTGTTAAAAGTATACAATGTAAATATAATGTCAAAATATCATTGATAGTTGTTTTCACATGATGCAATTGCCAGAAGTGAATGTGACATGAAATGTATGACACGATTTTGCACATTCAAATTTAGTTTTCTTGTTCTTTTTCTTCGTCATTGTTGTCGTCTTCTTCTTCATCTTCAGCTCCATCTTTTTCTTCTCCTGCTTCTTCTTCTTTTATGTCTTTGTCTTTTCCTTTTTCTTCTTCTAAAAAGACAACAAACAAGAATAAACTAATGTACCAACATAAGTAGTACGAGCACCAATTAATTTGATTATTATACTGTGATAACACGTTCCATTACGTATATTCCGAATGTTTTCTGTCATACTATTCATATATACTGAAAGAACATACCGGTTGTTTCTGCACAGAGAAGATGGAAAAACCTCCTTTTGGAATAGCAACCTTTAGAAGATAAAGAACGCAGGATTCCGGGGGAGCGAGAAAAAAGATGCAACCATTAGAACAATAATTTTAGAATGTCTGCTAGCATTGAAACCTCTCTACCATCATTACTTCTTTGTCGTTGATGTGGGTTTTTTTTAAATAAAAACTATCTGTACAAAGTATTTAATGATTTAATTGATCAGTATAGATTGTCCATATCATCACATCTATATTAATGAGATTGAAAGAAAATGTTTTAGATGATAGGATTAATCAACAGGTCATGCAGATATTTGGCGCCATGGTGTATATTTCAGCAACTACTTTTTGACGTACCGTAGATCGGTTTGTTTTCGGGATGTCATCCATGTATAGTAGTGGTTTTATCTTCATGGAATCATGAGGAACAACACGGGGCATGGCAACAAATCCTTTAGGTGTAAAAATTGGCTGTGTCTCTTGCATGGCGGCAGCAGAGAAAAGAGGGAGTGCTTTTCGTTGACGCCTGGTTGGAGGCACGCGACATTCGTCGTCTTCGAGTTCCATCATCTCGGTCAAAGAGGGTGATAATTGCCAATCTGTTGGTGGTACACTGTAGTTCTGATCAGCTACAGATGCAGACACCGTTGATATTGGTAAGGTTGGCCGAGGGATAACCAAGGATTCGTCCGAGTTTGCGTTGAAAGGCAACTATGAAAATGACAGATTTATACTTCATAAATTTCAATAAAATAAATGAAATTATTTTAGATCTGCTCTAGAAAAAATTATTTTTCTTTTTCATCCATAATTTTTATGACATTTCTAAGTACCGCTCACCTTATTTCTTCTTAGTTTTCTTGTTAAAGATCTTCTTATAATATCTGTATCTGTTTTATTAAATTATTCCCAAGATCGATGTTCTAAGTAATTTATTTAATTGAGTCAATGTATCTATCTATTTAATAATTTCAATTCATTTTCTCAGGGTTCTTTTTTCTCTCTTTATAGGTATGACTTTTATTTTCTAAAGAATCATTGAAAATAATGATAATGAAAACAGAACATACCACCGGAGTAAAGAAGTGCTCAGGTTCATTGTGAATGCTCAAAGTCGTGTCAGGTGCACCGGGAATGCTCAAAGCCGTATCAGGTGCATCGTGAATGGTCAAAGCCGTGTCAGGTGCATCGTGAATGGTCAAAGCCGTGTCAGGTGCATCGTGAATGCTCAAAGTCGTGCCAGTTCCAGTAGGATTCTTTCCAGTCTGGAAGACCGAGTAATCAGGAGAGGCCTGGTAGATATTCTCCACGTCATCATCGATATCCCGGAACGAAATCTAAAACAGAGATCAGAGTAAGAATGAATACTCGCTGGTTATTATATTTTGTATTTTGTACCTATCTTTTAATTTGTTCCCCTTTTATTATTTTGTTCAATATTTTCAGCATTCTTATCTTTTTGTTCGTAATCTAATTAGGATTCATTTTTACAATTAAATTAGTTTTTTTTTTTTTTTTAAATTTGATTTCTGCATTTTCCAAATATAATAACAGATTAACAAAGAACATATAAACGTTACGTAAGGTATAATACAAAACAAGCAAACAATGATAACTTCATGTAGTTTTTTTCTTTTTTACATATGTACATATGATGACGGAACTTGATATTTCTATAATATATTATTATAAATTTAAAGTATGATCCAAACTATCAGTTGAAAAAGTGCAGGAGACCGCAATCATAAGCGAAGCTTGACTATGATGTCGGCCTCGAAAAAAAAATAATCTCAAGGTAAATTAGTTATCGAAACAAATCTCTGTTCCTCTGTTTAAAATCGTATCAAGAGAGCATGATATTTATGTCTCTATCATGTTTACCATTCATAGACATTTGGATGAAAACTAAATAAGGAAAGGAAAATGAAGAGAAATAATGCCCATGATTATTACCTTGCCTGCTTGTAGATGGAAAGGGAACCGTTTATTAAGAAGGTCAGGTCGCGTTATGCACAAGAAATAGGCGTGTCCAGCAAAAGACAACACCAGGTCGATTCCGTTCCAGATATTCGGACTGTGAAGAAAGAATAGAAGTGTTGTGCAGATATTATTCATAAGAAACGAACTATAAAATATCATACTGCAATAGATATGAATTATGTCAAGTAATTTGAGTGATTTAGAGTTCGAGCTTAAAAATGTACCTCTTTGGTAATCATTATACTTTCAACACTTCGGCAAAATGACAAATGTATATACAGCCAGGAATAGGATAGTTTTTTACTTGATGGTTCAGTTCAATGTATATTCGCGTGAGAAAAAGGAGGAACCCTGTACCTGTTAATTCAAGAATTCGCAATCGTGTTGGATAAAAAGATCAAGGTCTTTTTGTTTAACCCATGCTTCACTGTTTTCTAATTAGAACTAAAAGGACGTTAACTCAACCTTAACACAGTGTTATCGCCCTTCTGGCTTTTACCTGACGCATATTCCAGGTTATAAATATGAAAGGGTTAACAAATGAAAGGGATTAATTCATAAATATAAAATACCTTTGCAGAACTGGGTAGACGTAGATGGACAGCAGTCGATAGGTGGGCTCAGTCATAAACCAAACACTAAAGAATAAAGTGAATGGTAAATAGAAGAGCGCCTTTTTCGGGTAGTTCTTAATCGTAAAGAAGCATCCGTACACGAACACAATGCAGCCTGCGGAGAGAGAAAGGAGATAATAAGTAGTCACAAATTTTGTGTTTGTCATTTTAAAAGAAACAATGATTAATTAGAATAATCCTATTTGTCTTTCGTCACCTTTTATCATGCCATTAATTAAGAACAGATACGACCGTGCTAAGATAAAGATCTATGTTTCTATGGATAAAATTTATCTCAATATAAATTCTTAATTTAGTATTGTCCCTATTATAGCCTGTTGAACAAGCATAATAATTAATCTACTTAGACGGAAACAAAAGATCCTATCTGTGCAAATCCATTTTTGAAAGCAAAATACCTTTGAACTCTTTTGTATTAAATGGATTGTAATAGATTGTTTAAAAAAAATGATATCAATCAAGATTTTTGAAATGCATCTATTGTGGTATAAGTGACATAATTATACAGCCAGCTTGGGGGCGATTTCCACATACAAAACAGTATGATCAGTACAATCTTTGTCTTATACAGGGGCGTCGCCATAGAGTGTAGTGTGAAATATGCTCCCATTAAAAAAAACTATGGACAAATTAAAAAAATTCAAAGCCTTTCGGTAATCGCCAGAATTCGAAAACCGTTTGTTTTGTTTATATTTGTGTTTACATTTGCTTATCTTTATGCTTATGTTTCGTTTGCTGATAATTGTTCAGACAACGCCCCCGATCTTCTTTCATTTTATCATTTATTTCCTTTCCCTTACCGCCGAACTTAATACCGATCAAGCCACCTGCAGACATTGACGTCACACTAGCGATGATGTCTTGGGGGTCAAGCAGCACTCGTTGATCAAAGAAGACTACAGTGTAGGATGCTCCGTATACCAAACCAAACACTATCATCTTCAATGTTCCAAAAAGACTCACCTGAGCTCTGTAGAGAGGAAGGAAATATCATTATGAACAATCTCCACCAGCATCATCATCACCATCAACGTCATCATCATCGCCTACATTAACAACGTCATGTTCATCATCATCATCATCTCCATCATCATCATCATCGTCATCATCATCATCATCATCATCATCATCATCATCATTATCATCATCATCTCATCTCCATTGTCATTGTATTACGTCGATTGGGCAAAAGAGATGATTACAGACATGTATTGATATTAGGTACTTACCGGGTGATTGTGAACCCCTTCGATACAAGCAGCAGAACAGACACAAAGAGAATCGTAGACAGGCACGAGAAAATCTCAGCTATAGGGAGAAATAAAACATTCTAATAATACAAGTCAACGTTAAAATAATATACGGCTCTAGCTCTGTCTGTACATTTTCGTTTCTCCTCTGTATAATTAATTACCTTTTAGATTTACCCATTTACACTACAATACTGGTTCCAATACTGCAACCCTAAACAGAACACAACATCAATAAACAAACCAGCAAAACAAAACCGTTTAAGGCGATTTGGGAGCAAATCTTAAGTTTAAGATAAGCTATAACCTACCCGTGTCTTGCATCTTAGTCATTTCAAGTCCAGTTCTTGCAAACCTCGATAACTCGATGTTTAGGAGTAGGAGACACACTGTCTTAAAGAAGAGACTGCTGTAGAACAACCGATAGGTTAGGTGGAGCATTTTCTTCTTAGACAAGACGTCTAGAATAATAATAAAAGAGAAATATACATTGGTATTAACAAATAAAGTAATGAAAAAAGAACAGACCATTAAATGAAAGTGATCAATATGGAGCTTTATTTTGTTTGTTTAATCAATCATTGTACGTATCTGATATCAATTGTTATAATATTATGAAGAAATATTACCGAGAGTCCTTCTTAGGACTCCTCAATCCTCCCTCTCTCTCACATGGTGCACCTGCAAGCCTACTGTATATTATGAATAATGTAATTAACCTAAATAATAAAATGAAATGCAAATGTCTTAGAAACAAATATTGAAATCACAGACAATATATTAACACGTGACTACATGATCTTAAACTTCGACTCAACCACAAAGAATGAAAAATACAAGGCATGGATGATGAAATGAATGGATGATTATTACAACAAAATATATACAATTTTATGAGTAAATAACGACTATGAATATTATTATAAATTTATATAATGCCATTAGAAATACTTACATCTGAATCGGGTAGCAACAATTATCATCGCCAGGTATCCAAGAAAGAAAGCCAAGTCAGTTTCCATCATGACTATATGATTAATGAAAATAAATTAGATTATTATAAACTAGTGTCAAGAAAGTTTTCGATCACGCCGCCCCTTGAATGATTATATGTAAAAAAAAAAATTACAGATACATTACTTTTTCTAATTTTTAGAATATTCTTTTTTAAGAAAACAAGCAATCAAACGAACCATTTAACTGTAGAATACAATGAAGAAATCAAGCATATAATAAAATAATAGATACAGATGGAGAAAGTAGCCAATAAATCAATCAGTTATCCCACAGAACAAGTGAACCGATCATCAATCATCAATAAGTTTAATGTTTACAATCAATCAATGAATAATGTAAAAATCTAAAATCATGATGACTCATTCATACACTTCTGATTCTCGGCAAATTCTTTCATGAGACCGTTGTTTCCATTAGTCATATGAAGTGAATACGTGACGTTCCTTAGTCCTTTTCGGTTGCTTCGGCAGTTAGTAAGATGAACGAAGTAAGACTGTGGGCGCTGTCGGGATGCGAAGTTGAAGCGACCATGACAAACCAGCCACTGAAAATGTGGTTACAATTTAGAAAACATTAATTTTAAGTTAGTATCCCAAATTAATGTTATATATTTCTATGAAGAGGGTTTCAAGACTGCTTTATTTCCTCAGCACTTATATAACGACAACAGTCATCAAACAAGAAATTTCTTTTCCTGTTTTCTGTTTTCTCCCCTCCCCCCCCCCCCCATCTCTCTCTCTCTCTCTCTCTCTCTCTCTCTCTCTTTTCTGTCTTTCTCATTTTCCTATATTTTGTTCCTGAGTTTATTCAATTGATTGGGTTAATAGGCACGAAATGAGCACATTATGTCACATCCTAGATATATATTCTCTTGTTTTACTTACTCTTAGAAAGAATAATCTTATTGACAGCTGAAACTATAATCGCTCTTTTATCACCTCTAACATCCATCACTTCCATCCTCATGCCTTGTTGACTTCATACTCACTTTAAAGCCAGCAGCATCGGTCTTCACGTGACAAACCGGATCAAGATCAGTCAGTATGATTCTGTAGTCCGGGTTATATACACGATCTATCTTATCCCGACAGGTCTATCGTGAAAGGTTATATATTTCATTTTTTGTAATGTCATTAAAAACAACATCCCCATACGGCTTAGACAAATAAACACAATCATGCTATGGAACATAAAGGTATCCTGTTCAGCTAAAAACAGTATTTTATGTATTTCTTTGCTATTTTACATTAATCCTCGCCGAGCATATAATTTATTTCATGAACTTTGAAGATAAAATAAAACTTCTATGTTGTTCTTTTTTCGCTTTTCATTTTTCTCCCTTATTTTGTGTATAAACGGCTTCACCATTAAAAATGTCAAGGTGCCGTTAAAATAAATGTTGTAATTCGAAACGAATAAACGAATTACGTGTCTGACCGTCCAAATATTCCATAATGATCTTTGCACATAATCTTAGTTACAAAGCTTAGTATCTTAATGTAATAATAAACCAAATATTCATAACGTTAATTGAAAAGTGAGATGATTTACATTAAAAACAAGTTTACTTAACATAATAGCAATTTTTCTACAGACCAAGTGAATATTATTCAATATATTACCAGTCTATCTTCATTCGGTCGTATGCCTCCCCACTGCCCATAGCTTTCGTCAAAGATAACAAGACGATAGCAACACTGGTCCTGAAAGAAAAATAATATAATACTGTTACAAAATGACATTTATACTGTCACTGTCACTTCTATACTGATGTTGCTACTACTACTACTACTACTACTACTACTACTACTACTACTACTACTACTACTATACTACTATTACTACTACTACTACTTCTACTACTACTACTTCTACTACTACTACTACTACTACTACTACTACTACTACTATTACTACTACTACTACTACTACTACTTCTACTACTACTTCTATACTACTATCACTACTATTACTACTACTACTACTTCTACTACTACTACTACTACTACTATACTAGTATTACTACTACTACTACTACTACTACTACTACTACTACTACTACTACTACTGCTACTACTAGTGATAGTACTATTACTTCTACTAATACTACTATAACTACTGCAATTATTAAAAATATTACTACTTCGAATTTCTTTTCTTATGATACGACTGCAAATGCCTTGAGAATAATGTGAAATATCATTGAAAAGTTTTTACCACTTCAGCTCCACTGCTGCCCATACGACAAGAGCAGCATCAAAAATAACAAACCACAGACTTCCTCAGCGTTTTTTTTTTTCTACTAGCAAGAGCATTTTGGAAAAGCCAAGACAACTACTTATATCATCGTGAAGATAAGATGGAAAAATCCGTCTGCTTTAAGGAGGTTTAAAAAACAAACATATTTATTCTTTTGACGCGCGCCCCCATTCGGTGAAGCCAGACGGAGTCTCAGCGGAACGTAATCGCCGAACGAAATACATGTTGGTCTACGATTATAGGAAACTTCAACTTACAGAAGGGTATCTGATATTGTACTCAAGGACATTATCCTCCGTGTTGGTAAAGTAGAAGGTGTCCATGAATGCCATATCCTGGGAGATAGAGAGGAATCAAATAATGTAGAATTAAGAACAAAAACAGCGACAAACGGCTAACTGCATATCTATAAAAGAAACAACAAACAAACAGACAAACTCAAACCAATATGCAAACCAACAAAACAAAAGAAAAATAAGAAACCAACATTTTTTTTAAATCCCCCCCCCCCAAAAAAATAATAAAAAATAAAAAATAAATAAATAAATAAATCTAAACTTAACAACCGTTGTCGCAATTATTCAACTTTTACTCCGGCTTGGGAACACTGTCTTGCAATCGGGAAATACAGTCTGCGAAATATTTGGAATTTAATATCACAACCTATTAGGCTAAAGAGTAATATTATGTGTTTAATAAAGTGCGCTATTCTTACATGCCCACAAGCCTCTAGGCTTTTTAAAAGTATGTCTCGCAAACCATTTTCTTTTTCTGTTTCTCATTAAACAACCGCCATCCCCACCCCTCCCCCTTTTTTTTCTTTCTCTCTTTCTCTCTCTCTCTCTCTCTCTCTCTCTCCCTCTCTCTCTCTATCTTAATGCCTTGAAAGCTCACCTGTTCCGTATTGATTTCCCCGCGCTTGAATTTGGCATCTGCATTGCCTGAAACAAGCAAAATGCAGGCCAAAACTAGCACGAAAGAGTTTCCAAGTTCCATAGTCGATTTTTGGGTTAATCAGCTGTATTCACTTGATTTCCAAGTGAATTACATGCTGTTATCAAAGTTTGTTCCGATCAATGAGAAGCTTGACAATATTATGATTAGTTGATAGTAACGCGCTACCACTAATGATTCAGCTGTGACGATGGGTGCGCGCAGGTTGTGACGCAACAATACATGCGCATCAGGAAACCTTAATGACGTAAGGGGCGTATGAAAACGTTTTGGTCACTGAATTATGAAGTGCTTGTTTTATTATCAAAATAATGTTCTATGGAGACAGTGGCGGATCCAGGGGGGCACAGGGGGCACGTGCCCCCCCCCCCCGGCCATAAAAAAAAGAAAAGGAGAAAAAGGAGGGGGAAAGAAAAGGAGAGGAAAAAGAAAAAAAGGGAAGAGAGAAAGAAGAAGAAAAGAGGGAGGAAATAAAAGGGGAGAGGAGAAAAAGGAGGGGAAAGGGAAAGAGAGAGGAGAGAAAAGGTGGAAAAAGAAGAAAGGCGGAAAGACGGAGGAGAGAAAAGGGGAAAAAGGAGAATAATGAGAAGGGAAAAGAAAGAAAGGGGTATGATATTACTATAAGAAGGTGTTTTTTTTTTTTACCGGGTAAGGGGCGGGGGGGATGCAATTTTAAGTCGAACATGACTAATACCAAAGATTTTTATCTCCTTTATAACTTCTAACTTATAACCTATAATCGCCTCGCCGCTACGCGGCTCTTGGACAATGCTCTGCATCGTTTTTGGGTCGAACCCCCCTCAAACTGTTACTTGATTTAAAAAGACGTTATCATGAAATGCTGTTTATGGTCTCCATTGTGTTAGTAGATGCCAGGAAAATATCACTTACTGGGGTTAAAAAAAGCCCCCCAAAAATCGCCTCGTCGCTACGCGGCTCGTGGACGATGCTCCGCACCGTCATGGGTCAAACCCCCCTTAAACTGTTACTTGATTTAAAAAGACGTTATCATGCACTGCTTTTATGGTCTCCATTGTGTTAGTATATAGATGCCAGGAAAACATCACTTACGGGGGTTCAAAATAGCACCCCAAAAAATCGCCTCGCCGCTACGCGGCTCGTGGACAATGCTCTGCTTCGTCTTTGGGTCGACCCCCCTTAAACTGTTACTTGATTTAAAAAGACGTAATTATCATGCACTGCTTTTTATGGTCTCCATTGTGTCAGTAGATGCCAGGAAAACATCCCTTACGGGGGTTCAAAATAGCAACAACAAAAATCGCCTCGCCGCTACGCGGCTCGGACTTTGAGGCTCGTGGACCATGCTCTGCATCGTCATTGGATCAAACCCACCTCAAACTGTTACTTTATTTAAAAAGACGTTATCATGAAATGCGTTTATGGTCACCATTGTGTTAGTAGATGCCAGGAAAACATCACTTACGGGGGTTCAAAATAGCACCCCAAAAAATCGCCTCGCCGCTACGCGGCTCGTGGACAATGCTCTGCATCGTCTTTGGGTCGATCCCCCTTAAACTGTTATTTGATTTAAAAAGTCGTAATTATCATGCACTGCTTTTTATGGTCTCTTTTGTGTCAGTAGATGCCAGGAAAACATCACTTACGGGGGTTCAAAATAGCAACAACAAAAAAATAGCCTCGCCGCTACGCGGCTCGTGGACGATGCTCCGTGTCGTCATTGGGTCACCCCCCCCCCCCCCCCTTAGCAGAAAGCCAGATCCCATCATCCGCCCCTGGATCCCTACTCTTTGAGGGGGTAGGAAAAAGCAATTTTACGCCATATTACTCCAGGAAGTGCCTGAAAATGCACCTAATGTGGTTCTAAAATTGCAAATGCTTCTTACTCACAGAGGGGGTTCTGACCCCCTCCCAGACCCACCCCCGCTTAGTCGCTCCGCTCCCTCGCCGCTGACGCCTCGCTCCATCGTTTTTCATATATTTCACCCCATGCAATTTTGTGCCCCCCCCCCCCCCCCCGGTAAGAAATTCCCGGATCCGCCACTGGGAGAATAAGGTGAAAAAAAACATAATACGACACAGACTATGTTCTTTGGGTAAAGCAAACAAATTAGAATTTCATTTTGATTTACTATCGCATTTTATTTGTTAAAGTAGTCAATTTAATGTTATTTTCAGCTCGTTTTCTTTGTAAAATCATTGGGTCGGGCGACAGAGATTTATTACCATGTCACAATTTGGCATACCACCTACTTCTAATTTCTAGTTTGAGAAAGCGGTTTTGTCAATTTTTTTATTTTTTTGTTTCAAACCATATAAGACTCGTTTAGATTGATCAATGTTATCCTCCGCGTATCCGAGATGTAAGACCATCACATCTTTGCCGAGCGACAGTTTTTGTTGAGATGATTCAGTTTTAGGACGTCTACAGTCCCTGTCACGGTCCACGCACAGTGGGTACGGATACCGGCTGCACAGAGATACCGGATATGTTATCTCTTGTGTGCACCGAGCATGACTGATGCATTTTCTTCAATTCCAATAGGGTCCATTTAGCTCCAAACGTTTTGATATGCATGGGGCAGTATCTTGTCATGAAAAAAACTCCGCAACGATACATGCGAATTTGTTGACTGTGATGACATATTTAATGAATAGAATATCTGGTACTTGGTTGAAAGTAAATTAAAGGTAATTAAAAGTATATAATAGCCCTCATTTTCAAAGTATGTGGGTATTTAGAGCGAGAACAGAATTATTTTTACATGTATTTTTGTTTTTGTTGCCTTAAAGGCAATCTATAATTAGGGTATTTTACTGAAACGCAGGATTATCTTTAAATAGTAGGAACAACAGAAAATTGCTCTTACTGATTTTGTTTGTGAGAAGTGCGCATGAGCGACTCGTCGGGGCTGGTTTTAATTGATGGATTAAAGGTAGTACAAAGTTTTGGTATGGGGTCTTGAATTTGGTCCAAATGAACATATTGGAAGCATATGCGATTTTAAAATATTCAATCGTCATTATCGAGGTGAAATCGAGTCTAATCAACTCTGTTATGTTGTATAGCCCCCTCTCAAGACTGATATTACTTTAACTTTAAAAAATGTTTATTGACTACAATCGACCGATTTGCTATTCCCGTTTGGAAATTATTTATCAGATTTTTATGGTCGCAGCTAATATGGCCTTAGGCGCTATTTGAAATTTACCGGGAGCACCGGTAAATTTTTATTATTCAATTTCTCGAAAGCAGAAGTGTTTTAGGGGCTAATTTTCTAGTGCTTATAATACATCCACAGAGGCATCCAAATATATCAAAATTTTAAAGAATTACTATCCATCCCATCCCAAATTTCCCAAAACTTTGTATTACCTTTAAATGCTAGAGAGTAACCTACCCATAAGAAAGAAATGTGTAGGAAGGGATCTTATGATTCTTCTCACGTTGCATTTCCATCTCTCCTTTTTCCTCTTTGGGATGCAAGACGATACTGGGGGTGATGAAGATGATACTGGTAGTAGTAGACCTAGTAGAAGGGCTTAATAATAATAATAATAATAGCCTAATAATAATAATAATAGTAGAAGTAGTAGTAGTAGTAGTAGTACTACTGTAGCAGGCGCGTAGCCACGGGGGGCACGGGGGGGCACGTGCCCCCCCTAAAATTTCCAGGATCGGTTGAAATTTTGTAGACCCCTTTTTTTGACCTCGATCGATTACATGTATGTGCCCCCCCAAACATCAAACTCTGGCTACGCGCCTGTACTGTAGTAGTAGTAGTAGTAGTAGCAGCAGCAGCAGAGGTATAATTAGTAGTATAAGTAGTTGTAGAGTGGCAGTACTTCTACTACCATACCAATACTGTTTATACCTCTTCTACCACTACTGCTATATGTTGCCTTTATGTACATCAAGCCTTGTCAATTACAAAATAATTATATGCATGTCATAACGCTGCTACCGTGGCATAAATGACCTTGTGAATAAATAACAATTTATAAAGCTTGCTATTTATAATTGATACAGTGAAATTGTATCTTCCTTGTGTGTGCTTAACGTGCTTTTCAATGCTAGCCCCGAACACAATCTAAATTGTAACTTTTTTTCGTTCAAAACGAGTTTACCAAACAGGCGCAAATTCTTTGTAAACGTATAGTTTATATCACTCTTTTCTTAAAAACAAAAGGCCGTTCTTCAATGAGGTCCGTATAGGCCTAATTTGTTTTCTTTTAAATAATCTTATCAAGAAGTTATCTCGGAAATACTTTATAAAGGGTTATTTTTAATTCATCTTTTCCTTGTTTTGGGGTTGAAAACGAGTTTGCCAGCAAAAGAGAGACTTTCGAGAAAAAAACCGGAGCAACCATTTTGTTACAATTTCCTTGAGATATAGCAGAG